CAATTACCTACTTCATCATTCCATAGAGCTTGACGAAGTACCCCCCTCTGTCCTACAGTTTAAAAAGTTAGCTGAATCACACACTATTACCTCTCTAGCTCTGTAGATAACTAGTTTTTATTTTATACTGAAATATATTAGTTTACAGGCACAAACCCTTGTGACAGTGGGAATTAGGTATAAAAATAGAGGGTCTGAGCTAGGAGACTTTACAGAGACTACAGTCAATAGGCCCTGTAGTGTAGCTGCTCCCATGTTGACATAACCAGTAGGAAACGGGCTAGGCTTTGTAAACTCAGAACACAATAATTATTGTTTAAACATATTTGTGGGCTTACACCCAGTGAAAAAAAAGATCAATTGATCGATCTGTAAATGAAAAACAAGTCTGAACAAATCTTTATTTACTGGGTGTAAGCCACAAATATGTTTAAACAATTGAAATTTTTCTTACATTTACAATACTTATTGTAATCAAGTGTTTGAGTGTGCACGCTTGCAGACTAGTGTTCTGTGTTCAACCCTCCTTTGGGCCAAGAAGTTTTCATACAAATATAATGTTAGCTTTGGTCTAGACTTGGTCCAGGTTCAACGCCCTTCGTCAGTGAATATGAAAGGGGCATAAGATTACTTAAAGTCAAGATTGTTTATGATTTGCAATCTGCCATGTAAATGCATGAATGATTTGTACTTATCATAGCATATTTTCCAAATACGTTTGCAATTTTTTTACTGATTACAAAAAAGTAAAGGAACAACTAGTGAACAACAATTAACAACACATTTTTGAGTGACAACAGCAGTTCATAGGTGTATAATAATAATAATAATCTTTTAAAGTCCACTCCAAATTTTATTAAGTTAAACTGAAAATGGAAATTCTTTTTGCCCAATTGATCGTGAGCCCGGCAGCCACTGAGCAGCGCCAGATCGATGTTGCTCTATCCCTTATTGTTGAACGCCAAACAAGGTAGCAGCAACTCCTGTCTTTTAACGTCTTTAGGTATGACGCGGCCGGGGTTCAAACCCACGACCTCCCGGTTGTGAGGCGGACTCCGTCAATCAAATTGTAAAGTGCAAGGAAATCATGAAAAAAATTGACTTGATTGTGTTTTGATCAACCCTACAAAATTGTTTGTATGAACAAAAAATCCTAATTGATGTTTTACAGGATCAATGTCCTTTTATAAGAACAGTCGGTAGTACCCAGATCAACAGCTCATGTGCTTTAATGATGAAGATGAAAGAGCAAAGAGGGTTGGTGCCTTGCTGGACATCAGAAATGTGGCTGTTTTTAACTTTTAATTATAATTCCTTTCCTTTTGCAAGGACAATGTTATTTCATTAAATCAAAGGGGGACAGATTTTGACTGATCCTTGTCATGCGGACACACAGCATGATATTCATTGGAATTTCCTTCCTTTAAAAAAATTGCTTGGTAAGATAAATGACTCTGTGCCGACTTCTGTTTGGCTACAAACCAATTCTAGATTCTGCTGAGTGACACAGTAATACATTCATCTGGACTTTCCAGAGGCTTTTCTCCAATTTTTTTAAAATCGAATGTTTCCTGATAGGCTGTACAGCTTGTAGACTTGATTTCCTGATCCGCTATTTGATTGGTTCCTGAGGAAAACTTTAAATTACAAAAAGGAAAAAATAATTGAAATATTGCTGAAAAGTTGCAGAATTTCTTTCTACATAGATTTTTTTGAAATAAATTTATATTTCTTTCAAGATATAAATTAATGCCAGAGTATGAACCTAATTTAAATAACTACCGGTATGTAGGCCTCAGCTGTATATTAAAGGTCAATAAATTTACCCCCCTTCTTTCATACTGTTGTTAAAAAGTCTGTGGTTTCTGTTATAAGAAATTTTGAAAATATCTTCTGTAGGATATGAAAGTCGAGTAACCATGAAAGAGTTCAATTAGAAAGTAGGATATTCCAAATTTTGTTTCTAGCAGGCCTGATAATTACCTGATTTAAATAGGTCTCACGATTTTATTTTATTTTTCCCAATTGTTTTTTGTTTTGATTTTTGTTCTCCAAAAATGGATAGTCCCTGAGATCAATGTAAATCTGGTTTAAAATTAGGGGGGGGGGGGGTGCTGTTTTTCATGACTTGCTTGAACGCCTTGCTCAAGCGCTCGGGACCTCATTTTGCTCGGATTTCTGAAGAAAAAAAACATAAAACTAGCTCTCACTTCCACCCTTGATCTAGAGCTTTAAATTTTAGTGTTGATGTATCATAATCGTATAGCAAAAATGGCAGCCAAAGGGAATTTCTATATTTAGTTTAAAGTGTCAATGATGGATGATAAAAACCGAAGAGCTAATTTCCAGATATTTTCCGCACCAAATATACATGTGCATAAAGTGATCCTTCATCTGTCATCAATTTTGTTTTTAACACTATTTATAGGCAGAAGCACATGGTTTGCTCTTTAAGAATTAAGATAATTAATGGTTTGATGTAGGATAGGCCAATTTACATTGGGCAGCTTCATCAATCACACTTTTATTATTCATTCGACCATTCATAAAAAAAGCATAAATACAATACATCATAGCAAGAGACAAGTACATAATAAGAATGAAAAAACGCATGCGAAGAGATATGGGAGCAGCAAGTGGGTCATGGTGCACAAAAGTGAAGTACAATACTGTTACCCGTAGGCATGTGCCCTCACACATGCTACTCCCAGTAAATAATTAAAAATTCTATACATAGAATATTGCACATGATTAAAGGAAAATTAATTATAAGAAACACATTTGTTTATACAGTAGGCTTGCGGGTGGACCATGTGAGAGAGAGAGAGGATTGAGGAGTCCTGAAAAATAGTCCTCAATCCTCTCTCTCTCTCTCTCACACATGGTGCACCCGCAAGCCTACTGTATATCTACATCACTATGCAAGCCGACACTTACAAGCAGCATCTAACATTTGTTTATGTTTCTTGCTTTAACTGTGCCAGGTATAAAAATGAAGTCTGAACTATGATAGCTGGCGCAGGCCTTCCCCCAACTATACACTGTACATACATGTATAACTTTATCTCAGATAGTTAAAAGATGATTGATCAGAATGTGGTTCATTAAGAACTGCAGTGTTTTTTCCCATTGCATTACTGGAAGCTACATTAGTGTCTTATTTACATACTAAAAATTCTTGCTTTATTACTAGTATTCACTTCACTGGAATTTGATAGCTTCTTTTGGTTTCACACTTGAGTCATTATGACAGATTAATAATTGTTTAGATGTGAAGTGTAACATATTACTTATATTCGAAGGAGCCATACCACAAACAAGAAGTGTCAAATGACTGAATTCCACTTAACATCCTGAAACTTTTTAGTTGTTTCAATTGATTGACCCTTCACTCTCATAAGGCATGTCTCATCATCTCGAGATTGCCAAAAAGCCTGCTATTTCATATTTGGGAAATAATCCCGAAGTTACAAATCGCGTCTTCATGAGCTCGAGATTCGACCTCGAAATGAAACCACAATGTTAATAATTTTAAATATTTGACTCAAGGAGCTTTCATACCTCGGCTGAATTTTAATTACTTGTATGTGAAATCAAAATCTCATCTACATAGGCTGTCAGAACCACATACAGAGCTGCCAACTAGTACGGATTTCCCGTAATTGGTACAGAAATTAACGATCATTACGGCAGTACTGAATGTTGTCTAAAAATTACGGATTTTTTTTTTTTTTTTTGTGCGTTTATATGATTTATCGTAGCGAGAGCTTTGCAGTATGGCGGCCATCCAACACTCACTGAGAAAGTCGGAAAAGTATCAAGTATTCTCTTAATAGAAGCCAATTTTTCATGGAAAACTGATGTGTTGTGATGACCTGAAAATCAATATTTAGCAACTTTGAGTAAAATCACAAAAATTTGAGATAATCATTTGGGCATGTGTCCGCGCAGTGTTAGCGTGCCGTTTTTTTTTTAGATTCATAGCGCCGCATAGGAATTTACTGATTTATTCCCCAAATTACTGATTTTGAGCCTTGGGATTACTGATTTTCTGTTCTGGAGGTTGGCAGCTCTGAACATACCTTATTGTGGTTACCTAGCTCTAATTACAGAATTGAGTGGATGGCGTTTCCATGAACATAACAAAACACGAATAAAATCAAACTTGTCCTCAAATCCAACTCTCGATGAAGGTCATATCTAAAGATGTCACTTTTGCTGGTTCCCTTTTCATGTAAGAGAGAGAAAGTATATGGTTTAGAACCTATGAAAAAAGCTCACCTGTGTATAGTGGCCACTTCAAATTTTCCTTTATGGGACCTCTCTTTGCACTTAATAAAGTTGCCTCTACCAGAGTTGGTTAAAGTCTAATGCAATTTAGACTAAATCATGTTATTCTGTATTTCATCCACAAATTTTATAAAACCCATCTTCTTATAGGCTCTTGTAGTTGTAGGGCGTGACAACTACAGTGTTGTTGCTTTAATCAAGGAGTTTACAGACCTCGGCTGAATCTGATTACATGTACATGTGATTAGTCTAACAACATCATCAACAGCAACAACAGCAACAAGAAAAAGAAAAAAGACAACAAAGTTCATGATAGCCCACTGTATAGTTTTTACATTTCTTCTTGCAGCTAATAACAGTTATCTGAGTTTATACTTCTTTGCATACATATTCACATGTGCATGTTTAATAGCTGTGTTAGATGCTGCTTGTAAGTGTCGGCTTGCATGGTGATGTAGATATGTTGGCTTGCGGGTGCACCATGTGTTGTCGTTCAGCAAATCCAAGGTTCCATTTGAGTTTTTGAGTTTTTCCTGGGACCCATTTCAGAAAGCAATTTTTTCAATGACAAATTTAAAAAAAACAGTGACAAATCTACTTATAACCAATCAGAAGCAAGGATTTCAGTAGCTTATAACTAAAAATGTTGATTGTCACTGATGACAAGTTTTGTGAAACGCCCCCCTGAATTTTTCTTTTTGCCTGTACAGGGTGTGGTTGTTTGCAACGTCACATACAAAGCTCCGGCTGGATCTGAGCCACCTCCATCTGGTGGAGGCAAGGGAGGAGGAGGAGGAGGAGACGCTTCCGCTGGAGCTGTGCAGGAAGAAGGAGAGGGAGGTAGGCAAATTGTAATTATGTCATATACCAGTCGCACGACCGGCCTTTGAGCTTGGCGAAAAGTGGATGGCAAGAAACGTGTCCAAAAACCCCAAAATGCATTACCGTAATTTACTTTTTCAGCGTTCGCGCATAGTGCGAGACTTCGGGCTGGTGAAGACGCACCGGACAAATACCGTATTTGCCGCCGTAAAGGCCGCAGTATTTTTGGAAGAGAAAATATCAAAAAGCCTTTACGACGAAAGAGTAAAAAAAAAAAAAAAAACGAAAGTCAAAACCAACACAAATTTGCACGTATGGGACTAGAAAGGGGTATATCGGACACCAAATTTGCCTGCGATCACTTTTTTAGCTAAACTTCCGGTAAATTATAAGAATATGGATGAATTTGGTATCAGTTTGTTAAAAAAAAAATAGTGTTTTCGAGAAAATTATGATTATTTTGTTTTGTCCGTTTTTTTTTTTTTTCTCCTATGCGGCGGTGCGGCCTTATCGCCGGCAAATACGGTAGTGGGATATTTTGCAAACTAGCCCAAGATATCTTGGGATGATTATCTCGACCAAATATCCCGCTAATTGCAACTGCGGGCTGATGAAAACGCAAATTAGCTGGATAATTTGAGATAGGGATAGTTACAATAGCAGGTTATTTTGTAATCTCAAGCTGATGAAGACAGGCCTAATGTGATATGGAGGATGCTGATCCTGGAGGTGGTGATGCCGATGCTGGTATTGATGGTGGCGAGTTCGCCAAACACCATATGCATACATGTCACATCCTTACTTACAATCTGTTTCTGTTTTCTGTCCACCTAACACCCAATGTATGTATCCCTCATGCTCCAATCTGTTTCTGTTTTCTATCAGATGAAGTAGATGGTGATGGTGGCGGTGATGGTGGTGGTGATGATGAGGGAGGCGACGAGGATGGCGATGATGATGGACCGGGAGGCGGAGGAGGAGGAGGTGGTAGCGGTGGCATTGGAGGCCTCAAGTAAGTTCTTTCTGTTTTTCAAACTTTCTCTATTGGAAGAAATCTTGTTTGTAATTACTTTTATTATTTTATCTCAAGAGATAATGTAAGTTTGAACAATCAGTAGAGAAAAGGCACTGCCTATTGTACTCAGCTGTTCGTTCATTTGTCTTCCAAATAATAAGCCAACACTTTTAAAATATCTCAAGGGTGTCAAAATGCTACAGATTGAAAGCTATTTATAGTGATGCAAATGCTTAAGTGATTTTTCAAGTCATACATGTGTGTTGTCTAAAGCATGTCAATGAAATTGTCTTATTATGTTAGATTTCACGCACTTGAAATATTTCTCGGGTTGGCTAGGTCAGATTACTGTACTTATTTCAACACTGTGGGTAGATGTAATACTTGCAAGCTGAGGATTTCCACCTTTATTTCGATTACACATCTATGTATATTTTAGACCATTTTCATTTTCATTAATTTATATATGGACACAGGCACACTGTGCTACTGTGAGATAAAACACACATTACTAAGACTAATTAGATTATAGCTTATTAGAACCTTTGTTTGACAGTTCATTGTGTACATACAATCAGCATGCTCATCATTTCAATAGCATTCCCACTAGCACCCTTCAACCATTGATATATTGGTAAAAATGACCTTATGCCTATTGATAGACTAGCTCTGTACTTAATTCCATTATGAAAGGGTGATTTTACTTTATACTGTACAATAAGTATGGTATTATTGTTTGTCCCCAGACTCTATATACTGTACATCTATAAAGCAGAGTGTTCCACAATGCTTTATGTAACATTACAATAGCTTGTTGTTGGTATATTTGTTCAATGGCTTGATGCTCAATTGTACATGTATGTATCTGTTGCTTATCAAATCTTAATGGTCTCCCTGTTGTCTGGGTGAGGGTTGTCCGGGAGGGTTGTCCCAGACTCCTTCTAGTTAAAATGAGTTTTACAATGCATTATGTAACATCGCAATCGTCAGTATACAATGTCCTTTGCAATAGCTGAATGCTCATTGGAAGTATTCATTTCCTAGAAAATCCTCTCGCTTTATTTAAGGGTCTCTTTATTGTCCTTGTCGGCTATTGTGTCACCTACCTAAGGATAAAGGTTAGAAAAGGATTACATAATGTTCTATTCAATATGGCCTAAGTTTGGTTCTCAACCAATAGCTTCGCTAGACACAGTATTCTTATTCTGGGATTAGTTATTTATTCTTGGGTGTTAATGGGTCATTAATGACTCATAGTACTAGCTGTAGGTGAAGTGTGTGACAGTTATACCCCATTCATACCGAGGAGATTAAACCAGACTAACAATAGACTGAATAAAAGTGACATGACTATGTATAAGGCTAATTCACATTATGACAAGATAAACTTTGGCAGTTTTTAAGGAGTAAATTATTGAAAGAAAATAGGTGATCACAACATGGGTCCTATACTGTATATGAGTTTATGAGGTTCATCTTCATCGTCCATTTAAACGATGAACATTTGTGGTATTTATGGTACATACTACAATAGAAGTAAATTCATGAAAAAGAAGACACATTTTATAAAATATATTTTGAGTTGACAGAAAGAAAATTTTACATGTATGCATACCCGCCTATGTGAGTGTAAGAAAATACAAAAATATGAAGCGTGTTATGCCTATGTGTAACTGCCTTGGCGTTTTACCCTAGCATATGTGGATGAAACTATAATACGGCAAGATGTTAAGTATATAGTGGATTTTTGTAGAGCACTCATGTCTATCACAATTGATACTCCTTGCACTCCACAAGTTATCAATCAGTATGAAGTCGGTATGAACTCGTACAAAGTCCTTAGGAGTCCTTGGAGCTGTTGAAGTTACCCATGAATATTGCTTTAAAAGTCAAGAATAATGTTAATTACTTTCATGCCAATAATGTGATAGAAGGATAATAAATTTGACCCTACTTTTAGTGACTACACTCATGTAGAAGTACTTGTACCTGTACATAGAAAGTCCATAATGTCAATAGTCAATGGTCAATGAAGACAGTGATTTTTGCTACCATGGAATAGCTATCTCATTTCATGGTGTACTAAAAGAAACTTCATAGAGACCACCTGCTTTTAGAGACCATTTTCTTGTCTTCCTTGAGTGGTCATATATATGTGTGATGCTTGGATCTTAATCCTTTACTTTTGAGAACCTGGTGGTCACTGTGTTAAGCCTATGGGACCTATAAGATTCAGTAGTAAACGAGTTAATGAAAGAATCCTCTTTGATATCTTCCTCCAAGGCGCAAGAAGAAGAGCCGCTCCAAGCTCTCCAAGAAGCCTCAAGACTTCCAGGTGAGGATCAAGGTATGGGAAGCTCGTCAGCTGGCTGGAGGTAACATCCATCCGGTCTGCAAGGTGACCGTCTCTAATCAGACTAAGATGACCAGGGTCAAGAAGTCCACCAACAGACCTTACTATGATGAGGTAAGCCATCATTACTTTTTAAAAAAATGAAAAAAATAGAATAAAGATAGAAGCGGGTCTCTCTATCTTGATTCTTGGGATTATTCTTTCACTTCAAGTTATGTTTTCTTCATGAAAAGATACATCTTATCAACAATATGCATGCGCTGCCAATCAACCTGATGTAATTTTATATGTTGGTCGTTATAATGGAAGGAAGAGAAGAGAATTGATTTGCTTAAAGGTACTTTGTCCCATTTGCAGCCAACATCAAATTCTGTAAAACTTTGCAGGAATTATGAACTTGTCATGTATGTCCTATCTGTGAAACGTAAACGTTAGCGGCGTCCTAATATTGAAATTTAGCAAGGAAAATTGTTAACTCTCTAGTCTTGACTGTCAGACACTATTGAGTGACATACTGACTCCTTTGTTTTCTTTGGTAATAACATACATAAAACGAGCTGTAAAGGTAACATGAGCATTTGTCTACATCAATTACCCGATTCTTTTACTGGCCAAAATTAAACTGATTGAATCTTTGCGCAGCACAAAACGTACGACCATTCGGTACAAGGGTCTCAAAATCAGACTTAATACTTAAGTGATTGCAATCACTAAAGTCGATTTGACAACTACAGGTAAAATGGTTATTTTCCCACGTAAAGACATTTTCACTTTCGTTTTGAGGGAAGTTCTAAATTAGTAATTATCTTTCAAATGTCGTAATTTAAATTTTCCTTTTTTTTTGGCCTGCAAAGTACTTTTTCATATCTGACCATTAAAGATGAGTGATGAATGACCAGTCATATTCCTGAGGGACTGATTGAAGTGACATGTGTAGCACTGTACTAGTGACAGCTTCTTACACTTGAGATTTAAGAGCTGTCTTGTAATGACTTTCCTCCCATCAATGGCTTTATCTGGCCTGTCTTGTAGGATACAAAAAGTTAATTAACTCTTGACCAAAATGATGATGTTCAAGGGATGACCGATGAGATTTAAGAGCTTTCTTGGAATTCCTTCCCCTGACTGACCTTAATTGTAAGATACAAAAATTTAATTGATCCTACAATGTAGGACGTAATTCTTGACTGGTGTGATTGTTAGAAGCTCCCTTGGATGGATGTTGTAGAGGACTCAGTGTGATCTATGCTACATCTCCAGAATCGGGTTGTTTTGTTTCAATTAATGTGGTGGCAGCGGCAGGATATAAAACCATGCCATTGCAATGACTTGCACCTCAAACCTTTATATACTTAAAATGAGTTCCCGTCAGCCATAGTCTAAACTGACCTTTATTCTAGGGTACAAAACTTGATCAAGAAGATTTAAGAATTATTTGGCCCCATCCGGTCAGATGTTGAAGACTGGAAAGAATGGAGAAGGGCAATTTAGGAAATGAAATGTCCAACGGTATAACTTGAGAAAACGGACATTAAATGATGATGATGGTGATGATGATATAGATGATATAGATGATGATGATATAGATTATGAAGATGATGAAGGTGATGAAGATAATGAAGAAGATGATGAAGATAATGAAGAAGATGATGAAGATGATGATGAAGATGATGAAGATGATGATAATGTTGAATTATTCCTAGGACATAATTCTTGACCAGTGAGATTTAGGAGCTTTCTTGGAATGAGTTCCGTTCATCCATAACCTTCCTGGCTGGGATTTTTGGATATGAAAAGTTAATTAAACCCTGGGACATAAATCTAGACCAATGCCTTTCGTAATTACCTCCTGTAGTCATGTGTGCTATACAAATTAATAGAGCAGGCATGCTGAGCCCAAATATTTAATGAATATGATTTGTCTTTGAAGGACAAATCTTGGTAATATAATATGCGTAATCAATGAATGTACATCATGTATGTTATTTTATGAACTGCATATATTCACAGTACAAGTAGGGGACAAATAATATTAATTGACAATATTGTCTGTTTTTAAATGACACGAGTAAACGCGATTCTGATTCTGAGGAGACGAAATCAAGTGGTTGCTTTATTAATCATTATCAGAGGAAAGAACCGTCCAGGCACTGTGCACTGTTATATTAATAGATGGAAAGCTAAATGTTTTTTACAAGATCTTTAAGAAAAAATAGTTGAGGACAATGTAGAAAATAAAATGTCATGATGAGATAGAAAACAAACCTCTGTTTGTGTATTACTCATAAACTGTAACAAATCCACCCCCCTGTGAGTGACTTGTCAAATAGTACAGTGTGTTTAATTTAAAAATGAATGATGAGGTTTGAATAGTTCCAATATTGCATGCATCACCTGATTTGTATGACGAGGGCATGACAGCATGCTAGTACAAAACCAATCAGAGCATCGACTACGACCAAACCCGGGATTTGGATAAAGCCCTGTGATGATTATGAGCTTAGAAATAGAAATGAAATTCATACACACTCTTCTTAGATCTATACTTCAGGAATGTCAATTTTTGATTTGTATGTGGTAGAATTTAGCCTTGAACCAAAAAGATAACATCTGGTTGACACTTTTTTGACACAATTTAATTTCATAAGGTACTTGCACTGACTGAATGTGAAATTAAAATCTAGACAATGAAATATGTACTCAATGAAAATGTGTCTGAATAGATACAGATGTAGGTCAGGGAGATGGCTCATGGAACCTCTGATTTATATACAGTATATATATATATATATATATAAATATATATATATATATCTTTAAATGTTTAAAAACGCTTTTTTTTGCAACATTAAAGACATTAAAAATTTAAAATAAAATCTCCACTTCTTATTGTTTTAACTAGTATTCAAGATCCAACAAACGTATCTTTTTAAATTTGTGTCATGTATCAAATTAACATTGGACGACATGTTACACAATGAACAATGAATTGTTTAAAGAGTTGCATTTTGTTCTGTCTCATATATTGAATTAAAAAAAAAACTGTATTCATAATTTTTAAATTTTTTATTTCTCTAGGTATTTTTCTACAATTTCCACATGAGCCCTGCTGAGCTGTTTGACGAAGTGGTCAACTTTCAGGTAAGTCATTTTACTCTGTATTGTGGGAATGGAAAATGTAGTTCAAGCCCCACTGCACTTCTTATAGCTATTTGCGCCCTCTATATAGCAAACAATGCCTTATCGGTGACCATTGGTCCCCCACGATCCCCTTTTTCTTATGTTAATTAATTAATTGAGAGCTGATTTGAAGAGATAACCACCTGTCAGTGACCATCCCTCCTGGCCAGACCAGTGTAGAAAGGCTTTAACCCATTCCTTGACGTGGATGGCAAATCTACTTAATACAACCAAGAATTTGAGTGATGAACAAGTTTAAACTAAAATTGGCTTTGTTATTTTCCTAAAAACAGAAGCAGGGTATATATCATCTTCATTAAGGAAATTATTTCTATAATTTTCAATTCTCTACCTGATAATAAAAAGACCATTCAAGGGTGAAATTTGACACTTGAAGGTTTATTGATGACAGTAGATCAGAAACCCGGTGGCACAGAAGAGATGAAATGCAAAAGAGGGAGGAAGGCATGGGAAGTGAAAGATTTTTTATAATATATATAGACCAGTTCATAGAGAGCTCATGGTGCATATGACCCCAAATATCAACAAATCTTTTAAAGCCTTTCTGCACTAGTTTGGCCAGGAGGGATTAGAACCTTCCTGCATGGTTACTGACAGGTGGTTATCTCATCAAATCAGCTCTCAATTAACATAAGAAAAAAGGGACCATGGTCACCACTTAGGCATTGTTTGCTATATAGAGGGTGCAAGTAGCTATAAGTAGTGCAGAGGGGCTGTAAACACAGAGAAGTCCCATATTTTGTATTTTAGAATAATCACTGCGAACATCATGGCAGTGTATCATGAATGTATTTTGTTTGCCCTCCGTCTTGAAGAGAATACTTCCGCCTGTATAAAAAGAAGGCACTGTTGATGCATTAATGAATAATGATTACCTGACTTTCATGAATAGAATGTCTCGGTGGGTTTTGCAGAGCTGCCAACCATTCCGTTTTTGCCGGAATTACTCTGTTTTTTCCTCCAAATTACGGTACTACGTTTTTTCTTCATAAAATATGTTTTTTAATATTTTTTTTTTTTTACATACCACACGTCAAACAACTGCCCTTAAATGGTGGTTTGATCACAAATTCAATAGAAAACTTATTTTAAAACATACTTGAAGAGAAAAATATTCTCAAAAGAAAATAAATGCCGATAATACCAAAATAACCACAAAAAAAATTACCTGCTTGTATGGAAAAAAATGATGAATGAACATTTCTGCATTGGAAGTGTTTCGCGCGTGGTTGTAAGGTTCTTTTTATGAATTCCTTTTTTTGGCTTGAAATTCCTTTTTTTTGCCATCATGATTCCTTTTTTTGGTCGCACAAGGTTGGCAGCTCTGGTTTTGCAGTTTTTGTACAATTGACCTTTATCTGTCCAAATTGGCTTCTTAAGGTGGTGGTGGTATAAATATACATGTATATCAAGTTCATGATATTCAGTGGGCGGTCTGTATTGACCCAGTGTGTGAAGGGAGCGGGATGTGTAACCGGAGCAAGCAATCAAGTGCCTGACTCAGTTTGAGGTCGTTTGAATACATACCAGCAAAACAGTGTCCGATTTCCACCTCATTAATTGATGGAAACTGGTGAGATTTTCAACAAGGGTGTACAGAGACGAGGTATTATAGGAAACCTTGGAAAGACAGGTTGAGCTACCGGTATCTTTTCTAATATTGACACTGATACAATATTTTAACAAGGAACTTTGGTTTGTTATTATAAATGCAAAATGTGACTTGCGCATTTGTGCAGTTCCATTATTTTTGAAGATGTAGAGGTTTTCAACTTTGAATTATATGTATTTCGATTGCATATGGGCAGTTGAGAGTCAGAAATGCATTCAAGGAAATTAAATAATCATTTTTTGGCACTCAGCAGACCATATTATGATTTCATGGATGAGAATTTAAATATTTGCTTCTCAGTTATAGAAATATAGAGTTCTTACATAAATAAAAAAAAAAAAATCACTTCAAATCAGTAGTAGACATATTATATGATATAGAAAGAAAACTAATACAAAATAACCTGATGATTATTTGCAGTACAATTGGGATTTTGTTTTGCCTTGATGACAAATAAGGAATATTGTATAGAATAACTAGGGGGCCTAAACCTTTTTTTTTTTTGGGGGGGGGGGGGGGTAGAATATCTCCCATATCTGACCATTCCAACAAAGATGCCCATCTTTCTCACCAATAGGAATGATGAACCTGCAGATGATGGTACTTTCCCGCTGGGTTTAATTGAGATGAAGCAGTGTTTAGTTTTATAGTAGTGATAAGAGTGTCACAGGAGAACGACCAACCAAATTACAAACCTTGTATGTGGTCTCCTATCAGGCCAAAACTCAAACTCTGTGAAGTGAAATTTGAAGAGATATGAGGATTCAAAATGCCAGTATATTTTTGAGGTTTGGGATACTTAAAAAATTGTTTTAAATTCTTCATTTCTTCATATGTAATTGTCCCGTGTAATAAATTCTCTCCTTGACATATATTTGAGTGTGTACTAAATTATCATTTTATGAAACACACTTTAAATTTACTCTTTTGTACATTCATGTTAAATTTTCTTTTTACACACACTGAGGTACCTTAATAATGAATTTTGTAATGTAATTAACCCGAACAACTTTCATGTACAAGAAGGTTAGATTCTTACCAAATGTTTATAAAACATAACTGTATAAAATGGCAATTGTAATGAATTAGATTAGTAAGTTATAGAGTATATTATATGAATCAACGCTTCCTGTTACTGATCGAAATGGAAATGATCTATATTAACACTACATCCCTTCATCAATGCTACATGTATCTGCAAGGTTATAATGAGGTGATAGGCCAACAGGAAGATACTGGTTTATACACAGGAAGTTAAATGATCCCGCTCATCTCGCGCGATACCTCCGTTTACCTTGTTGGCATACTTTTGGTAGGCTCCTGAATACAGTCGAAGGATAATGTGCTCCCTTTCTATTTTAGGAGAATTGTTAACCCTTTGCAAGCCCAATAGATAAGTGACTTTTCAGGTATAGACATAATGATCTTGCACGAACTGCTATATAATTCTGTAACCAATTTGGTATACTTTGGTAGGACCCTGAGTACGGTAGGAGAATGAGCTGTCCTCTTTCTATTTTAGGAGAATCATTAACCCTTAGCAAGCCGAATAGATAAGTGACTCTTTAAGTATAGACATAATGATCCTGCACTAACTGCTATATAATTCTGTAACCATTTTGGTATACTTTGGTAGGACGCTGAGTACAGTAGGAGAATGAGCTGTCCTCTTTCTATTTTAGGAGAATCATTAACCCTTAGCAAGCCGAATAGATAAGTGACTCTTTAAGTATAGACATAATGATCCTGCACTAACTGCTATATAATTCTGTAACCATTTTGGTATACTTTGGTAGGACGCTGAGTACAGTAGGAGAATGAGCTGTCCTCTTTCTATTTTAGGAGAATCATTAACCCTTAGCAAGCCGAATAGATAAGTGACTCTTTAAGTATAGACATAATGATCCTGCACTAACTGCTATATAATTCTGTAACCATTTTGGTATACTTTGGTAGGCTCCTGAATACAGTAGGAGGATTATATGTTCCCTTTCTATTTTAGGAGAATTTTTGTTTGTTGAACCGCAAAATTTGCTTCATCTCAAAGTGTTTCTATTTCTGGTATTATGTTATGAACTTGTGTAATTCTTGCCAGTTTATTATCTGTCTATTACAGGACAGTAAATAAATGTCAATTCACACTGACATTTGGATGACAAAAATCAATGTAATCATTCGTTTCCTGTGTATTATTGTAAATTGTATTATAATTCTGTTAAACATTCATTGATTCTACGTAATATTAACAATTATCATTTTGTAAACCTGGGACCCTGCCCACATAGAAAATTTGCTTTTAAAGGTTATCCTACCAATTTATATTTTCATTTGTATTGCTGCAGTGTCCACATTGTTTTAAAATGGAAATAAATGAATTGAATTGAAAATTTAACTTTTAATGTATTACAGTCAAACCTGTCTATAGCGATTGCCCAAGGGAAACAAAAAAGTGGTCTTTGTAGACAGGTTCCTTTAGTACATGTTTCAATGTGAAACCATTTTTAAGGGAAACAAAAATGTGGTCTTTGTGGACAGGTGGTCACTAAAGCAGGTTTGACTGTACCTGTAATTACCAAATTCTTTGATGATATATAATCATGATTAACATTTCTCCATCCCTTCCCTAAATGCAGGTATTCAACTCCCGTCAGCTACGTAGCGATGCCCTGATCGGTGACTTCAAGCTCGACATCGGTTCCATCTATGAGGAAGAAGATCACAACATCGCCAACAAATGGCTCCTCCTCTCCAATGCTGATGATGCCAATGCCGGCGCTAAGGGCTACCTCCTCGTTAGCATGGGTGTGCTAGGATCCGGAGATGAAGCTCCTGTAAGTTGATTTATTATTATTATTATTATTTATTTGACCAATCGGAAAACATACAATGAGTATAACAACCAGATAATACATAAACATGTCATAATACATGCAAACAGCTTTAGGAAAGTGGAGAGGAGAGAGAAAGAAGGATACAATCTGCTGGTCAGGGGTGACAAAAGCAATTGAAATTGAAATTGCTATTACTTGAAAGCATGTCACCCCCACATGATGCAACCTGGAAAATAAAGAGTAAAGAACAGAATAAGAATTCACAATATGAGATAATAAACATATATCAGGATGAAATTATAATAATTTGAACAATTACCATTACATCCATCACTACTTTCATTACATTATTTTGTCATTACAATGGCTAATTTACATTCCTCACATAAAACTAAGCACCTTTCGTTTTCCAGTTCATTCAATTTGCATCAGTTGCTTTGATAGACCCCTACAATGTACGGTAAAGGAGATATGTCAATTAAAAAGTTTACAAATCATCAAAATTCCTGGATAATTTCTTTGTAGAACCCCTGAGCTATATCATGCATTGGCTTAATATCATATCATCTTTCAGAATGGCATAATCAAACTGCTTCTTGCTATGTCAGGCAAGTCTTGATCAAGATGGAACAATTTTTTTAATTTTTTCTAGAAGTAAGTGAAAGATTAAATTTGTGGGTGTATTAGAAAGATGGTCTATTTCTTTTCAAATTTATTTGGTCATCAAAGAGAGAATAGTCAGAAAGGAAAAGATATAAAATTGATTTGTTATATCACTTGAAAATATCTTCATAAATTATTGACCAATATGGAAATATGTTTTTGTACTTCAGGTGTTCAAGAAAGCAGATGAAGCCAATGACATAGAATCGTAAGTAAAACGTTGATTAAGTACTGTACCTTATCTTTATGTATTCACTCCAGATTAAAACTTGTTTTTAATTTTCCCTGATCAGGAATATGTTTTAGAAATAAGAAAGAGTGTATTATAAATCTTATCTTATCTGTTCTGCTTTGCCAATGAGAGTCATTAATAATTTGGTAATCAATATCAATAATCAATAATCAATGGTAATTTGGAATTCTGATTATTTCAGTTCAGCCATGAGCTTTAAAAAGATGATGCTTTTGGCGACTTAGTTTAAAACATAGAAATATATTATTATTATTATTTTATTTGGCAGAAAACACATGATATCAAAATACAGAATTGAAAATAACACCCGGCTGTGCTGCTAGACCTTGGGCAAAATTAACCAAATAACTATAGTCCGCAGACCGCCCTCACCTACATTCCAACCATATGCAACCAGTGTTGCTGAGTAATGTGACAAGGCAATCTAAGAGAATAATAACTATTCTCTTTGTAGGGTCTTTTGTTACATACATTTGGCAAGATCTTTCATATTTTTGTTCTTCAGAAATAGAAGGAGGAAATCTTTTCTCTTTCTAGAGTCTTTTGTTTCATACATTTGACAAGATCTTTCATATTTTTGTTCTTCAGAAATAGAAGGATAAAATCTTCTCTCTTTCTTAGAGTCTTTTGTTTCATACATTTGACAAGATCTTTCATAATTTGTTTCTCTCCAGGAATCTGTTGAGACCTGCTGGTATGTCACTCCGTAAAGGAATGTTCATAGTGAAGGCATACCATGCTGAAGACGTCCCACAGAGTAAGTCTCATTAAAGTAGTCTTAAAGAGAATACAGTAATTTCGACATGGAATCTGTTATGAGCCAGAAGGGTGTTAACTCTGTGTTAAGGTATTGAGTTAAACATCTTTCTGGCTCTGAATCTACGATTTTATACCAATAATGGATTCTAGCAAGTTCATTATTCAATCTATCCGCACTCAAATTGAGGCTTTATATTCAGCTATCCTGATGGTGTTGTATGATAGGTGCTTAGACGGACTCAACAAGAGACGATGGATCATTTTAATGAACAAATGAAAATATGCATTGTTTGTTTTACACAACAAACTCCTAGATCCTTGGTATTTGGTGTAAAAAGAAATCGTTCCGAGCTTATTTCGTGTCACTGTTGCTAACAAATATTAAAATCAACAATTTATTAGGCTTATTTATAGCGCGTACAAAGATAAGCGCACTTACCTTTAAACAGGTTTAATTATGTTGATGTGTCTTATATATAGGAGTTCCTTTTAGCTTAATCCAAGATTTTGTTTGGAATTAATTTTGTGTTTGTTTGTCTCTTATTGCCCTTTAGTGGATCCTGCTTTCTTTGAGGGTGTGAAGAAGTTCTTTGGCGCTGGTGATGGCGAACGGAAAGAACTCGTAGACCCGTATCTTACAGTGGGATTCGCTGGAAAGAAGGTACATGCAAAATTTAACTTCTTTTAATTTGATTTAATTTAATTTGTTTCATCATGGACTTAATACGGATGGACATTCAACGTGATTCTTTCTTTGATGCAATCATAGTCACCGCCTTCTGATTATGTGCATCTTAATGAGAACATTCAGCTGTTTTAACAATAACGACTGCGTAAAGCATTTTCGGTCATTGACAAAGAAGCAGTTTCCCTCTCTTGGGTTTTGTTTGGACGGTGTGCTCTGTGAGAGTGTGTCTTAAATAAAAGCATCCTCAATGGGGAGCAGCAAAGTTGAAAAGCAGACGATTTTGGTGATATGAAATGTATTATTACTGATTCGCAAACTTTCGCACACACCTATGACCTTATAATAAACAATTAGAAGGCCATGATCTGTATCAGCCCTGTGTGTTGTAACTCTGGAATATTATGAGGAAATAGGGGGAAACGGGATTTCAAATCACAACCCAAAAATCCAAAAATAACCTGTATCTGGTAATATCAACATGTTTATGTACAGTACACGGAACAATAATTTCTGATTATAAGCCAGAACTGCACATCTATTTTTCATGATTTAGGCGATTATCTTCTGCGCATGTAGATTAACATGTGTAAAATCACTATCTTGATTCTGTCCCGGCTTTTTGCCGGCGACCATGATGAGACCAAAGAGAAGAAACATGTACAGAATGTTATTGAGACGACATTGACGGAGACAATCACAATGAATTCGTTAAGAAAACGATGAATGTCCATTTGTAATAAGTCCATGGTTTCATAGCCTGATAGCTGTATCCTATTGTATATTACTGATTTATGTATGGATTTATATGGATTTTACTCTTTCATCGTTTTGTTTATATTCTATTTATTCTACACTACTACTTATGTATAATTGAATTCTTCCATCAATTGTCTATTATTGCATCATGACTTCTTATCATATTAATCTATGAGGTTAATTCCAATCATGTAATATTGTGAAACGTACAGTGTAGTTTTATCAATGACTATATTAATTAGCTTTGCATAGACTTTAAAGTGCATTGAAAATTGCATGGGTAATACAATAAACGCAAGGTCATTGATTTCTGAACTTGGGGTCATTCACCTCTATTGTATATTGCTTTATTCAATTCTTTGATACACAGATCCAGTCATCTGTGAAGCAGTGTGATCAGAACCCGCAATGGAATGAAGAAATCCGAATCCCTATCAGGGTAAGTCATCCACCATTTCCGACAATTTTATTGAAACCATCTGCTTCTAAAGAATTTTCTCTTCCTAAGCGTTGTCTTGAAGCGGAACATCTGTCAAATGTCTGGCTAGAGGAAGCTATGACATCACACCTTATTTAAAGTAGAGTGTTTGGGTAGATATAGCCTACATGTGCTATACATTTAGCTGTGTAATTGTATTAAAAATGACTTCAATGTTGCATCAAGGTTTGCTTATGTTGCCAAATGTGATTAAAAAGACCCGTTTCTATAAATCTGAAAGTATCCCATTATAAATCTCACCATCATTTACAGAGTGCCATTAAAGTTAGAATTGCAAATCAACTCTCAAACTAAGAGCATTCATTTGAACATTGCAGTTGTATGAGTTATAGAAATGATTTTTTTTTTTAATGAAAGAAGTCCTGAAAAATAGAGATCATTATGAGTTCCACTATAATTGTACACGTACATGTAGTAACTATTCTCATCTTGCTATAATTTTTTTTCTTCAGTTCCCATCGATGTGTGAACGTCTCAAACTTCAACTGAGGGACTGGTAGGTGTTCATTCATTTACATGTATTTTCTTTTGGGAGAGGGGAGATGTGGGGGGGGGGGATAAGTTTTCTCTGATTTGTCCCCCTTTTGCACTGGTAGTTGACATCCAACTCTATCACATGTCTTTTTTTGATGAGCCCAAAATTTGTTAATGCATTTATGTGAAAAATTTGAATGGTTTAATATTTCAGATCTCATAAACAATGAAAGAGGTGCATGGTTCACTGTATTATTGAGCTAATTTAAGGTTGTAATCAACACTCATTGTTAGATTTTTGGTAATGATGATGGAGTTCATTTAATACGATGATGATTTTAACACTTTGGTTGCTCTCTTCGCCTCCCTGCACAATGGCTCATTTGCCACCCATTTTACACAAAATCAACGAAAGAATTGCTTTGTGCAGCCAATAGCTTGGCAAATCACGATTTCCGATCTTGATAAGCTCCATGACAACCATTTTAAGTATAAATTGATCTGTACAGTTAAATAATCTTGAAGCCTTTGGTATATTTAACCCATGATGAATTCAATGTGACACTGTACAATGTACTTGTGTGGCATATAAAGAGTTAATAATGAATTTATATAGCGTGATACAGAGAAATGATCAATGTCATATCTCTTGTACAGGGATCGTCTATCAAGTGACGACTACATTGGAACTGCCTTCCTTGATTTGTCTGCCATGTCGAGCCCGGGAGAAGAAGGTTTGTCTAAGATCCATATTCATTATTTTTTGTCATCCTTTTTTTTAATCATGCATGCATCACCTTTAACATTATTGAGAAGTCATCCATTTGTCTTCATCTGTTCAATCATTGCTTAAAACATTCCCAGTCTGTATTGTATTATTGGTCTATTATTTTGTGTGCTGTGCTGTGCCGTTCTGTTTACATATCACGGTCAACTACCAAAAGAGTATTGATGAACTTACCTCTGTAGAGCTTATAATAGAAAATATTGTCTAATATGTAAAATACAAATTACTGTTTCATTTTAATCTTTTGCATAATTTCCCGCTTTTCATTACACCTTTGACATTGCACATGATGTATTTGTTCTTTGCCTGCTTAATTTTCAATATCTTCCAATTAAGGTTTGAATTGAAGAGTATTGGAAAATGACTAGTACTCCCTCTTTTTATTATTACACTTTATATGTGTTTGCAATATTTTGACTTTCATAAATAACTTTGTACGACAGCAAGATTATTTTCCTCTTTATATTATTCAAGACTATTTTTCTCTTTATAGTTGACTCTATCTATACTAACAATTCACATTTTCTCTTTTCATTAACCTTCCCCTCACCTTTCCTTCAAACCATTCTGCGTGTATTTCATTACAATCATGTGACGTGTCATGTGACTGATCACATGGTCAGTGTTGTTTCAAGATAGTGTCATTGAAGAGGTGGAGTTGGAGGGGCAGGCACCGGATGACTGCACATCCGTGACAGGGGGAGGAGGAGGGGTAGAATTGATAACGTTACCTGCAGAAGGAGATGGTATGGGATATATGATGTCACTTGCTTGAATCTTTCCCCCAAAATTGACCTGGCTCCAAAATATCCCATTTTCCAACCCGTCTTTAACCCAATTTTTAAAATTGCAATCCCTTTTTACAAAGCAGGATATTTTGACAAAGTGATATTTTTGTCATCAGCATGATATGGTATGACGGAACTTTTACATTTGGGATCCATTTGATTCTTTCACCCTTTCCAAAGATCCTTACTCCTTCAAATCTGTAAGACTTGAGCATTATTTTTAAAAGTGTTATGAATTAGAGCACGAGCAGGGCAGTTTTGTTTATAATGTAAACATGCTTTTGAGATCATTTTGGTGAGGATGTGTGAACGATTGAACAGAAGCCTTTTTAGAGCATTTATTCTATAATGCTTCTAAGGAGTCTTCATTTTAGAGGTTGAGTTTGTCTATGGTGGATCTGGACTAGTGTTTCTTTTCTTTGCAATATTAAACTGTTAAACATTGCATTCTCCAATAGGTTAGATGGAAAAGTTTGTTGTATTCCCCTTTTTTGGTATGGATATATGGTGATGATTGGAAAGTTTTGCAGAAATGGTGAAAGAAATGTAATTCTCTTCTTTGTATTTATAATTCATGGGTTTAAACAAAAGTTAGTTTAGACTTCAAACAAGTTTAATGTTAATATCTTTTTTTTCATACAAGTAATAATTCAATATTTATATGAAATATATAAAAATCTATATTTTCACGTACTCCATATATTTTGCAGTCATCTTTAAAAATGTAATTATGTATATGTTATCAACACATTAGTATACAAACTGTCTGTTTGCATGTGTTTATAACTGCAATTTTTCATGAAAAGTTGGACATTAGAATTACTGCAGACCTCTTTTTTTGATAAACCTATTTGATTAAAAATAAACTACTTGCTTCCTATTATTGGGATCATCGGATGACATTATTTAATTTAAATTTTCATCTGTTTTTCTGTGTCTGCATGCTGTTTTTATTGGATCAATTCAATTGTTACTTCCTCACGTGCTTTAAATAACCCTCAGATTTGGTTGTAGCATGCTAATAATAACATTTGAAATTTGATCAATGTGGTATTGAGGGACTTAGACAGCAAGATTTAAATTTGTTATCAGAAAATTAATAAAATCTTAGATTGAGCATTGAAATGTCTATGAGCCTTTGCACAGTGGAAAGATATATGTATGTGAACTTTGACTTAGATAATTTGTGAGATTTTGTTCTTGTCCATACCACCCAGATTCCCATTGAGTACATTTCAGGATGGGTTAGAAATATACATGAATTGCTGATTGGTAGATAACAGGATAACTGAAAAGAAAGATCAATAAATAAAATTCATTAGTAGTAAATTACACAGTATGTTGAAAGATGATTGTAGATATCTAAATTGCTTGAAGGTAGATTTCAGGAGGCCTATGTTGTAGATTATGAAATGAACATGGCATTCCTCTGCCTTCTTCCTGTAATATACAATGATGTGATGTGATGAGATGCACCTGTTGTTTTAAATACTTACCTTGAATGACACCTGTTGTGATGAAATTCATTTTCATTTCTAAAGATGAATAGATGTGCAGCATTTGAGGATTTGTGGTGTCAAAAACAGCTGTTTTACCTCAAACCAGATTTGTTTTCATTCAGTTCTTTAATAATATTGAGCCCCTGTTTCTGATTTTAGTGTGTACACATGGTTTTGATATTTTTACCGGTAACCGGTTCTTTTCATGATTCGTCATGATTGCTCCCTGATGACAAACTTTTTTTATTAGTATTAATAGCATATAATTTGATAAATGTTTGTTAGTCTAATTCTGTGTACTCCAGGTTCTTTTTTTCACCGTGCCATTCATTATAATCAATATAAATCTATCATATTTGCAGTTACATTTTCTATGTGAAAAAATTCCCACTCACTTGTGTTTCTGTACTTGTTTTCATTCATGCGTTTTTTTCCATCAAATAGTGGTTGACGAAAAAGTGTACGATGGTGAGATTTACAACTTTGAAGTATTCCTTCAAACCTGGGAACCTGCTGATGGTTATAAAGATGTAATTCTAATCGCAGCTCCTCTCTGCATGTTTACCCTTTGAAATCCATGTGTGCATCCTCTGGGAAGTCTGTTGCAGAGTTAAAAACAAAAATGTTAATACAGTGAAACCTTTCTATAAAAACCACTCAAGGGAAATATTAAAAGTGGTCTTCATATGCAGGTGGTCTTTATGTACAGGTTTATTCATTACAGGCTTCAATAAAAAGGGAAACAAAACAATTTGTTTTTTATTGTCAGGTGGTCTTGCTATACAGATGGTCACTAAAGCAGGTTTGACTGTAGTAGAGGGTTGAGGGACAAGTTTAGGTCTACAGTGCTTGAGAGTCAGAAAACCAGTGAAAAGAGTACAGGGAATATTTGTAAGCTTCATGATTACTTAAAAAATAGCTGATTTCCATCCCTTTTAAAAATTATTTGAGAAATTTATTCCTGTTCTGAGTCTAAAGTTACCTATCTTAGAATTTTCTGGTTAAGTGCATGCAATTTCCTATTTCCCATCCGCATATACTAATAAAGTGTTAATAATACGAAAGGCAGTTAGAATGTGATAAGCAGTGAAGAAAACGTTTTGTCTAAAACAAAGGTATTTCAAACTTGATATATTATGTAGCAGTATATGGAAATCAGAGAATGGTTATGGTGGGATTTTTAAAAGTATTTGTATTGTAGAAAAGGTGTGATAGCATACAAAGCGACAATATATGAGAGAGCATGGGAAAAAGGCAATGGAAAGTGCATGCATGGTTTAATTGCTTCAATTCCCTTTGGATGTTTTAAAAACACTTCTACAGTACTTGTATATTCCGGAATGGATATTTAAATTTACCCTTTGATTTATCTTTTTTGTTTCTACTGTATATATATACATGTATGTTTTTTTCTTCTTATAGATATCTGATTGGAATCATAAATTAAATCACCATTTAGAATTACCATATCGTCACCCTCGAAGACAGTCCCGAAGTTCATGCAGTTTCTTCATGTGATTGAAATGCTTTTGTTACTTTTGTTTTTTAATAGATTAGCGACATCATCGGAGCTGCCGCAAACCAATTTGATTGGCATAATTGAGACTCTTCTAATTACCAGGGGTACTGTCTCACAAAGACTAAGATCAACTTTAAGTTGGACTTAAATACGGCAGTCCATTAATGCCACTGTTTTCTCTCACCATCATGATCTTTAGATTTTATTTTTTCCTTCAACAATTATCAAGAAATATAAATTCTGTAGATTTGTGACCATGATTTGTACGTCCCTTGAGAGACAAATAACAATAAATGGTGAAAGCAAACAGTGGCATTAACGGCCTGCCATAGTTAAGTCCAACTTAAAGTTGATCTTAGTCTTTGTGAAACACCCCCCAGGGCTGTCGTTAATTAGTTATTGATAGCTGCTGTGCCTATTGTTTTCAATTGCACAATATATAAATACAAAATATCTACTTAGTTGATATAAAACCAATTAATACATCTGTTTGATTACCCTCCTCTCTTCCCACAGGATATCTTCCCACCTTCGGTCCAACCTTTGTGAACTTCTACGGCTCTACCAGGGAGTTCTCAGACCTGCCAGACCAGTTTGAAGATCTCAACATGGGCAAGGTAAAAAAGAAAGATGTGATTGTGTACTTCAAAAATGATTGCATTATTATAATATTGTTTGAGATTGTATTGTCTGGTCTTACCAAGAGTTGATGTCAATTGCAATTTATTTGTGATTGATATCAATTGCAGCTATGTACATAAGAGATGGGAGACTGCAAACTTGCGATTGAATTGGATCAATCGTAACTCTTTGTAAGACTGGGTCCTGGTGTGAGATACAAACAGAAACTGCACTTTATACAGAATGAATGGAAAAAACCCACCTTTGACATACATGTAAACTGAAAAGTTCAGGATGCTGTTTTTAAATTTATTGTAATTGATCTTGTTTTCATTTAGCAGTAGTTTTGATTAATTATTTGTTTGTTTTGTTTTAAATAATGGTACAAAATTTGATAATGGTATTGATTGTAGTATATCTGAGGCTCCGTTCCATAAAACTGCAGTTGAATGTCCCAGTAATATGTGACCATGTATGTCATTGTCTTTATTACTGCTAGGTAGGGTATATCATAGAAACAGATTGATAATACCGCTTTTATAATGGACTTTGATTATAAGAGATGTGAACTTTAATATTAAACCTGACTGAGCTTTTATATAGCTCATGTAATGATCATGCTGAGCGCTACGTTGTGGGGTTGTTTTAATAAATTATTATGCAATGGTACATTCCCTCGAATTCATATCGATTCCATCCCTAAGTGATAATGGATTGTTCCTACAGGGAGAGGGTGTGGCCTACAGAGGGCGTGTCCTAGTCAAGATCGAGACCAAACTCGGAGATCATCCAGAGCAGAACCTCGCCGAGATAGAAAATGCCGAGATCCAGCGCGTGGGAAAGGTCCTCGGACGACGCAAGTACCGTCTCTACTGCGCCATCCTGGACGCAAGCATGGTCTGCGAATCGGACGATCCCGTCGAGTTTGAAGTGAGCATGGGTAACTATGGTAACAAGCTGGACGACAGCGTGGCTCCACAGCCGTCCACCACCCAGCCGACCAACGCGGTGTACGATGGATGCAAGTATTACTTCCTGCCGTGGAGTGAGAACAAGCCGCTGTTGATTGTCAACTCTGATTGGGAGGATATCTCCTTCAGATTGGACTCTCTCAACATGATCCTACGCAAGATTGAACGCTTGGTGAGAAGTGGAAAATGAATCATTATTATTATGAAGGACTTATTTTATTGCAACAACAAAGACAAAATTAAAAATGAAAACAATCATGAAATGTTTGTCATATTTCATTTGTGCATTAATGAATAAACAGCCATGATAATTAGTTTTGAATTTTAAGTAAGGTTAAAGATATAATTCCATGGTAACCCCATGATTTTGCAAACAGTACAATCTAGCAATACTTTACAAGTGTCAGTTAAACAAAGTTTAAATAAATGCTTGTCTTCAGTGCAGTCAATCTCCATAAGTGCTAACAGTTTGTATAATAGGAGGATTAAACGAGAACTTACAGTTTGAAGTTTGATCCTTATTTTATGAGTATTAGGAGGTTAGAGAATACATGAGAGCCCGCCCGCAACGCTACAATCAATCTTCAAAGCAACTGTGACTACTGATGAACAAATAAAATAAATAAAATAGGACTGATGAGAACATACTAATGATCCTGAGCAAGGGAGGGAGAGGTAGGGCATGTATTCTCTAACCTCCTAATACTCATAAAATAAGGATCAAACTTCAAACTGTAAGTTCTCGTTTAATCCTCCTATTTTATTTCATATTTCTCGGTAACGAGAATACATGAGACTTCAAAGCTCAGTAGTCACATATGCGACAATAATTTGTCAACAAATATCAGGAATAGCTAACCTGGTCCTGGTAGAAATCAGAATCAGTGATGTAGGACTGCTTGAGTGAAAGTAGAATGTCCCGTATTCACTGGTTTGTTGTAGTATTTTTCAAAAGTTTTCTCATTGGCCCAACCGGCATGCTTGAGAATCACATCCATTGGGATGTGCATCTTCTTGGCTATTGAAGTAGATGCTGCCCTTGTAGAGTGAGACTTGTACTGGTCCGTATCGATGCCAGAAATTTTCATCACAACTCTGATCCATCTCGAAATTGTTTGCGAGGATGCCCTTTTGTGTGGCTTCCGAAACGAGATGAACAGGTGTCTCTCTGACTTCCTTATTTCTTTTGTCAGTTTTATATATTGTTCAATGCAATGTACGGCACAAAGCCGTTCATCCTCTGGGAATGCTGATATCTTCACCATTATACCAACATTTCCTGGTTTACTCTGCTTAAGCAGGCTATCAACGTGGAATTCCACCGAGTCCGTCTTCAAACACATCTTGTCCAAATTAAGGTTCCAAAGAGTTTGTACTCTTTGTGCTGAAGTAAGCGCAAGTAACATGCTCAATTTTTGAGTCAATTTACACAAAGGAAGCTTATCATTAGCTGGTTGAAGACGAAGGTAATCCAATACAATACTGACGTCCCAAACCTGAGCATAGCGTGGGGTTGGAGTTCTTAGCTGGAAAACACCTTTCATGTACTTGCTTATGATAGGATGTGAACCAATCGTATAGTTGCTATCATCCAAACTCATGACTGATGCCAGGGCACTCCTTGCTGTATTGATAGCACTATAGCTAGCATTATGTCTGTAAAAAAGGTCACTGAAAAACTCTAAAATATCCTTAGCTTTAGCCTGCATCCATGGAAGTTTGTGCTGTTCGCAGAAAATTTTCCACTTGGAGATGTAAATGTTGTATTGTTTCTTTGTTGATTCTCTCCATGATGCACCAATAATGTCTGTAGTTCTCTCTGTTAATCCATGTAGGTCACAGTGTGCACGCCAAGCCTGCAACAAAGGAGATCAAGATTAGTGAGAGGGTGAGGACTGCCAGACACTGGCTGAGTGAGAAGTGAAATGTTCCATGGCAAAAGCATGGGCTCTTCAAGCAACATTTCTTCAAGAATGGGGAACCAGGCTTGTGTAGGCCAGTTTGGTACCACCAATAAGCCTCGTGCATTGTCTACTTTGATCTTCTGTAGGCACCTTGGAATTATGTTGAAAGGTGGGAAGGCATAAAAATTGAGAGTACCCCAGTCTACGGTGAATGCATCCACTGCCCAAGCATTAGGGTCTGGCATCCACGAAATATACTTTGGTAGCTGAGCGTTGAGTCTAGTTGCAAACAAATCTACCTCTGGCAGACCATATCTACCCACTATTGACTTGAACATAGCCCTATCGAGCATCCATTCAATGTTGTCATTAAATTTCCTAGACATGCGGTCTGCTTCGACGTTTAGAGTACCTGGGAGATGAGCAGCCGTTAACCAAATATTTCTATCCTTACACCACTCCCAAATTTGACTGGCAATTTCATTGCAGGAGTGTGATCTAATACCTCCCATATTATTGAGGTACGCAGTTGCTGTCATATTATCAAGCCTAATCAGAACATGTGTATTTCTCATGTTAGAACAGTAAGCTTTCAACCCGAGGCCTGCTGCAAGGGTCTCAAGATAATTTATTTCATTATTGTGAGCCCTAGCTAATTCTTGGCTGTTCCATCTGCCCCCTGTTTGTGATTTTAGATCTGTAGCACCCCAGCCTTTTCCACTGGCATCGGTGCGCAATTCCATCATGAATTTCCCATGATGCATAGGGCACTTAACTGAAGTAACATTTGAAACCCACCAGTTTATTTCATCTTTAGATTTAGGTGAAAGTACCATGGGCCTGTCAAAGTGCCCTTTATTGCACCTTAATGCTGCTATTTTCTTTTTCTCTAGTGCCCTGTAATGCAGTGGCCCATACTGAGACGCTGGAAATGTTGCTACTATTTTCCCAATTATCTTCGCAACTTCCCTTATGGAGGGGGCTTTCTTCTCTAGCAACCCAATGCATGCCTCTCTTACGTCTTTGCCTTTGTTAACAGGCAGTGTAATTTCCATTCTAATTGTATTAAGTCTGAATCCAAGAAATTCAATTTCTTGAGTCGGTTCAAGCACCGACTTTATTGGATGAATTATGAATCCCAGTCTACTCAGTAACATTGTAGTGGCTGTCACGGATTCTAGTGTTCTAGACTTGGTTTTACCAATAATTATAGTGTCATCCAAATATCCAACAACTTTGTGTTTGGATTGTCTAAGACAGGCAAACACAGGTTTGAGAAGCTTAGTAAATAGCCTGGGGGCAGAGCTAAGCCCATTTGGCAGGGTTTTAAATTGCCATAATTGTCCCTGCCACACAAAGCGAAGGTACTTTCTAGATTCTGTATGAATGGGTACCGTGTAGTATGCATCGCGAAGGTCGACTGAAGCCATGAAGTCTCCCTCAGACAAGAGGGAGACAGCAGTGAAAATGTTGTCCATTTTGAAATGGTAATAAGTAATGTATTTATTAAGTTTGGACAAATCCAGAATTAGTCTAACTCCTCCATTCTTTTTTGGTCTTGTGAAAATGTGTGAAATGAATTCACCATTGACGTGTGAGCAACGCTCAATGACGTTTTTATTTTCTAGAGTATTCAACTCCTCATGGATCTTAGCCATCTCCATAGCATTTCGCTTGTAAGTGTGGAGGGGCTTGTCTTGTATGGGGGGGAATTTGTCTGGATCAAATTCCAATTTGTAGCCTTGAATAGCTTGAAGTAAGAATGGATCTGAAGTAATTTTGCACCAATTTTCATAAAATGGCTTCAGTCGACCTCCGACCATATCAGACACGGCTTCATTACAAACACTAACCTCTTGAGTGCTTGAGCCTGAAGGGGAATTTCCCTCGACTACTTCTTGCGATGGTACGATTGTTTGCCCCTGTTGGCTGCTGTTGGGGTGTAGGTGTGTGATGCCTGCTGTTTTGAATTCCCTTTCTTGAAGTTGGAATTCTGGCGCTGCCCTAAAAAAGGGCGCTCTGAGTTCCCATACATACGGGATGACGAATTGCCTTGATCTCGATTGGGGAACCAGCCAGCTCGTTTCATGGTGTGCTTGGCATAGTCTGTAACCTTGCGATAAGGATGATATGAGCGTTGATGCCTGTCTTGAGGCTGGTTTCTCGTGTTCATAACACCTGCCGTGGCTTTTTGCTGTTCTTGCAGTTCTTTAACCTGGCGCCCCAGATCCTCGCCAAACAAGTGTTTGGTAACTGGGTAAGTTGGCCGGCACAGATGATGAAAAAGAGGGTTGAGATCCGGTTTGATCAAATTCTTCCTCATGGAATTTAGGCCGTAATTGGCATTACATAGCAGCGCCAATGCATCATGCTGCTCCTCGGTCATCGTAGCCGGGTTCAGAGATCGTGCGAAAGCACACAAGCCTTTGGTTAATGACTTCTGGATGTACTGAATTTTCAGATCTTTATTTCTAGTTGCTGAACGCAAATTTTCCCAAATAATTGTGTTCACTCTTGGAGTGTCAAGCAATTCACAGTTTTCGGGGGAAAGATATTTCTCAGCCGCCTCATCCAGAGATTTTTCTTCCAGTTTGTTGCTCATCAAATAAGTCATAGATTGAGCTATGTCGTCATGTAAGGGGGCACCAATCCCCGAGGGCATGGCAAATTTTGCGGCGATCATGGGAATTGTATCTTGTCCCTTGCCGGCAGTAGTAGGCACACTACCAACAGCTCTGCCCATGCTTCCGACATCGTCGGTATCATAAAGAAGTTCGCTACCTGGCGAATCACTTCCATCATAAAAATCATCGGCCAAAAGGCCTTCCCCCGAGGTCAATCTTCCTACCGAGAGGGGCTCCGTGTTTTTATCAACCGGAGAGGAGAATGTCTGAGGGGCCAGAGCCGGCTGTGCCGGGGCAGGGATTCTCTCCATTAACACAGAAAGCATGTCTTCCAGCTTATCAATGCGTGAATCCACAGACTTCGATTTTGAGTCCGAGCGCGGCTTAGCCTTGCTCGTGTTGTCAACCTCGCGGTTCGGCTTAGCCTTACCAACATATTTATTGTCAGAGGATTTGACTTTCGTCTTAGACGATTTAGTATTTTCTTGCTCGCTCGGCTTTGCCTTGCTACTAATTTTGCATTTGGGAGTACCCACAGCGATGCCCGAGCTCGGCTTTGCCTTACTCGTCGGGGGAGAAGCACCGGGTAAGGTAGGCATTATAGTCCCGGCTGCCTGCGGGTTAGTACCCGTCCCCGTGATTGCAGATTCCGATGGTGACTTGCTCGTGCCCGGCAGGCACCGAGCAGAAGATGGGATTTCAAAATTGTTTTTAGAGTCCCAAGATTTGTCCATTTTAGAACAAAACCCGTTTCAAAAGTGTCAGAAACTTTTCTACGAGTGGATTTCGGCAAAAAACTCTGCCGGAAACGAAGGATTGCAAAAATATAAACAGATTTTTGCAGCTCGAAGATTTCGTATATCATACGATGTAAGCGCGACGAACGTATTGATTGTAGCGTTGCGGGCGGGCTCTCATGTATTCTCGTTACCGAGAAATATGAAATAAAATTTCATTTCAGAAGAATAAAAAACAATTTTACTAATAATGATTGGAACAGGTACGTTCGTGTGCGACATTTCCATCACTTCTCGAAAGGAAATGAACGTTGCAACTAAAGCGTGTTAGATTATGATTACTTTATTTCTACATTTAGGTTGATATGTTTACCACTGATATAAATTGTACTTCATTTATCTTGATGATATGAGTGTGTATATATTCATGGCTCTGTAAAATAATGTGCAAAACTATCATATCTGTTTCCTTTTGTTCTGATTAATACAGGAAGCTAACATGGAACATGTCCGTCTAGCCACCAAGTCCGGAGCCCCGCAAGCAGAGATAGCTGCTCAGCTCATCGGCATGATCGATACACTCATTGCCGACTGCAGGTATGAAATACCTCCTCCAACTCCAACAACATCAAAAACACCATCAACACCATCTACAACATCAACAACAACATCAACATCATCAAAAACACCATCAACAACATCAACAACAACATCAAAAACACCATCAACACCATCAACAACAACATCAACAACAACATCAACAACATCAACATTATCATCAAAAACAACATCAACAACACCACCAACTCCAACAACATCAAAAAACCATCAACACCATCAACAACATCAACAACATCAACAAAATCAACAACAACATCAACATCATCATCAAAAATACCATCAACAACATCAACAACATCCACAACAACATCAACAACATCAACATTATCATCAAAAACAACATCAACAACACCAACAAAAATACCATCAACAACATCAACAACAACATCAACATTATCATCAAAAACAACATCAACAACACCAACAACTCCAACAACATCAAAAACACCATCAACAGCATCAACAACAACAACATCAACAACAACATCAACATCATCAAAAACACCATCAACAACATCAACAACAACATCATCAACAACATCAACATTATCATCAAAAACAACATCAACAACACTACCAACATCAACAACACCACCAACATCAACAACATCAACAATACCAACAACATTAACAACAACAACAACGACAAGTCTTGTTTACCCAGGGTAGCCTCATCAGTATTTATACTGTTCTCCCTGAGGGCCCTGCTATCATGTTATTACCTTAGCTTGAGCCGAGCTACCATGAAAAGGCGCTCAAGCATTTAAGGTATTACTTCCTACCCTTTATTCATTTACCTCACCTGAGTGGAGTGTGGCAAATGTAGATTAATGTCTTACCTAAAGACTTTAGTGCCGTTATTCTCATTACCTCAACTCTAACAGGCAACTCTAATGGGGCTCAAAGGGATGATGACCCTCTAATATTGATGAACCCAAATTGGAACAGTTATTCTATAAAGATAATAAAGTAATAATAACATTTTGCACTTAGTGAAATTCTGTTAACCCAAAAAGTGTATGAATATAGCATGATATTCATGATTATTGTAGTAGCGTTGTATGCATGCGCAATTGCCCTTGGCAACCATGTTTTATGTTAATAAAGGAGTTCAGAGATTAAGAGTTAGCACAATCCACAATGTAGTCCATCTCTAGTCTTTTGTGTGAGGTTCACCATTTGCATAGGACCGCCCGATGAGAACTCTACAGCTACTGAAACATGGTGGCAGCGGTGGGATTACCATTATTATGTAGTTAAAGCCCAAGTCCACTCCAAAAATAACTTACTTTCAATAGAACCAAAGAAATCAGACAAACCAATCAAAAAAAGTTTGAGCAAAATCGGATAACTAATTATAAATAAGAAAGTTATGAATTTTTAATGACATGAAAAACTTTGAAAATCACTACACAAATTGGCAACTCACTCATGAGTCTATGACGTATGTTCCTCACTATCCACTTATTATTTTCTTTATATTGATAATATAAATTTCCTATTTTCACCCTAAAAATCTTATTTCTTCACACCAGTATCCAAGTTAGATTTTTAGTAATATGTTTTGTGTGGATGCACAAATCAAGAGTAATTTTTGTCTAGTTAAATCATGAAAAATTGAATTTTGATAAACTATTTATATAAAAATCAATAATTATGAATATACAATATTCAGAAAATAGTATCAATTTTTCAAAATTCATAAAAGTTTTTGGGAAATGTCATGCACGCAATATGATACAAATCATATAACCTGGGCAAAGGCATGGGGAAATCTAGTTTTGGGGGATAAAAAGGGAAATTAATGGGATTAAACTATGTAAAGCAATTGATAGGTTGTGAGGACATGACGTCACAAACTGATAACCATCTTGGCAATTTGTGTTGTGAATCTCATTGTTTCATAGTTTTACATACTTTTTCAAAAATTCATAACTTTCTTATTAGTTATTCGATTTTGCTCAAACTTTTTTTGATTGGTTTGTCTGATTTTTCTGCTTTTATTGAAAGTAAATTATTTTTCGATTGGGCTTGTCCTTTAACACTTGTCAAAATTATTTGATAAGGTGTATTTCAGAAGAGCGAAGTAAATAAATGTTGTAAATCTTCCTTTCCCTCTAAGGATGCCTCTCCCCAACATTGATGAGTTGAAAGAGAAGGTCAACGAACTTGATCGTCGTAAGTACGACCGCCGCCTCTACGCCATGCAAGCCATTGCCACTGACGCTCTGAAACTGAGAGAGAATGCGACTGATGTGAACGATGCCATGGAAGATGTGGAGGGATACCTACATGTCTTACAAGATCTGGCTGTAGAGGTCAGTTCACACTGTCTTTTATGTTCACACTAAAGCTTACATGTATCTAAACGTTTCCTAATATTGCACAAAGAATTTCACCACACTCATTCATAGTATTCAAGAGTATATTTTCATATTGCAGATCTAGTAGTTTGTTTCTGATTCTGAAACTACATCAAAAGCTCTTGCTTAAGGTATTGCTCCCACAAAGCTCCCTACATTCATAGTTTATATGCATATGCTTACATGAATAAAAGGGTCAACATGTGTGTCCCCTCTTGTGAGAAAAAATTGTTCATCCATTTTGAGTCTTACACAGACTGTACTTGATGCTTTGTGGAGTGACAAAAACAGGGCATCTTTAATATATCAATAGCTGTGTAGGTGATATATGTATGTAGTACATGTACATTGACATGCACTTGATAACCAAGTTACTGAACTACTCTCATGTACATGCAGATTACTGGTATTCTAATCTATGAAGACAAGACCAAACAGGAGACACAACACTAATAATCAAACATACCTTATGATATTATTTTGCAGAATGTTATTTCCCATTCCTACCAAATATATGTACTTTATGTCAAACCCTTGCAATATTCACCAATTTCTCATTGAAATAATTGATCTTCAGCCCCAGAATTGCATGCCCGATGTGATCATCTGGATGTTGAGTGGAAGCAAGCGTATCGCCTACACTCGCTTCCCGGCTTACCATCTTCTCTACTCGTCTCGTGGTGAGGACGCTTGCGGCAAGTTCTGCGGCAAGATATCAAGCTTCTTCCTCAAGGTCAGTACAAGGTCATGTCCAACTTTAAAAAAAAGGAAAGACAAATTGTTTAAAAGTAATCTTTCTTGTTCAGTGTCATCTGTTTTTGTCCCTCAAGGAAAAGTTGTTGTTGAAAAAAACATAAATTTGTTTATTCACCTGCTAACTCATTGATAATAGTTTTGAAACAGTGTTTGAAGTGGTTTCTAGAAAAGGAATGCTGAAAAGAAAAGAAATCCTGATATTTGTCTCGATTATGTTGATCTACCCCTACTGAACCTAGCTTTAATATTTCCTTAATTTCCACTACTGGTACTTAACACAATTCTACTAACACATTTTAGTCAGCAGTGGCCGATGTTTAATACTGTCAAATACACATTCCATGTTTCCAATGTTTCCAGTATATTGTTCTACCTGTGATCATTTACAGTATATCTAATGTAGAATATAGCTTTCATCTCATACTGTGAAGTGTATACGGGAAGTGGCATTTCTATAATTCATTACTTGGCCCTGTTTTTGTCTGTTTTTCTGCTTTATTGCAGCTGTTAGATGAACCAAATGATTAAATTACAAATATGTGTACCAATCATGTGCATACATGTATATGATCCATATTCATGAAGTCTTGAATGTCTATGACCCCAATTGATGATACATTTAGTTGTATTTCGTAAAATAAATTCATATACAGGTATTTGTAAACCTGGAAGCCCTATCTGTTTCTATATCAGTTTCATTTAAGTACTATACATTCTTGATAGTTTTATATGGATTATACAATTTCTAATTTCTAGAATGCCACTTCCAAATATTTTTGAACTTGATGTTTTCAAGTATTTTTCTCCATATACACTACACATGTATCTATTTTTGTACCCTACAATATTTTTTATGAAATCCATTTACTCTACTCGCACAATATTTATATATGTTTTTGTTGTAAGACGTACCTACCTGACTATTCTGTGTATCTGTAATTTTGTATGCCTATGTGTTCGAAAGAGCATCAGATTCCTCTTTTGAAAAGGAGAAATGAAATTAATAAGCAGGAGTTAAAGGAGATTGATTTTTTGGTACCAGGAACCGACGACCGACGTCGACAGGAGAGCTCCCGAGAGAGTCCCAGCCTTGGTAATAACAAAAACCCCAACAATCTCTTCTCTCTCTTTTCCCTCTTCGCCATTTGATGTATGCTTTTTATTTCATTCTTAAACTGCTTTCCACCTCCCTTTCGTTGTACCTGACATTGGTGTTCAGTGTGTGCTTTACAATCCTGCTTTTAATTCAATCCTTTAAGGTGTACTCTGTGAGTATGGTTTTGGCTCATGGTGTAAGCGTAAATGGAGTTCAGGTATCCATGACTTGCAGCTTTATCATTTGTATTGATCATTATTTGTAAAGATTTGAGTCTGATTGTACAATAAATAAATAGGCTTTTAAAATGGTTAAAAAAAGAACAGAATTCAGTAGATGAACAGCACTCACTCCTGCAACAATTGCTACATGTAAATTTTACTACACTAACCAAATTCTTAACCTCAGTCCTGGACCCAACACTATACCTCACCCCAACCCTTTTACCCTATAAACCTAACCTAAAACCCAATTATAACACTGACCCTAACCCTCTCTCTTTGATGAAATAAAAGCCTGGAGCAATTGTTGCAGGGGCAAATATTGGATCACCATTTTGGACAAGATGAATTTCAAGAGGGATTTGAGTGAAACATGTTCTCCTTGACGATTACTTTTCCTTTTTGACCTCATTGATCCCCAAACAAAAGATTCAATAATTTTGTGACAAAATTTGCCAAAACCATACTTGCTCATTACCCTAGAGATATTTCTGAAATTTCGTTGTCCTTTTCCTGAATTTCCAGCTAAATGTGTATTTCAGTTCTGGTCGTAATAATAATAATAACAATAATTATAATATTCCGCTTTTATGTAGCGCTTAATACATCCACGATTTCTCTAAGTGCTTTACAGATATATTATTACCCCAGTCATCGATTTAGCTTTTCTATGCAACAAGTCAGATTTCTGACTTCTGATTTCTGCTTTAAAACAATTCCTCTGCTGCTGCTTAGGGTGCAGCTAGGCATCATCAGTGAACTTTAAAACCCAATGAGATAGTTTTAAGTAATGTTGAATATTTCTACTGCAGACCCTCAGATCAAAATCACAATGCATGTCCCTGTTTTAAATTGTTCAAAAAATGGCAAATTGTACTCTCCAACAATCCATTTCAATTGGAAATTGATGAAATCACTCCATCTCACATGTCTTCCTTCTTGATAAAAATGAACATTGTGAAACCATACATTTTGCGTGATACTCATAGCTATCATCATTGCCCTTCCAAAATCTGAAGAAATTTAGATCAAACATCATTTAATTTTAGCCCAGCACATCATTTACAATGATCATTACCCATTTCAGCATTGTGATGCACTGCGTTTTCACTGAAGAGTTACTTAAATATAACCTGTAAAAATAACCCAGTAATTGAGAATTTAAAAAAAGAAAACAGAATTATTGAAGTACAAATCCAATTGATCTTTTGATTAATTTCATTGAGGTGATGCTAAGTTGCTCACATAATGTTTTTTTAAATGGTTTGATCATGTTCTTTGTAATAAGGACCCTGATACAGGAATCTTTTTGATTTTCTGCCCATCCCACCATTTCTTTTCTCTTCTTTGTGATAATGAGTTTCATGTACTCAATTTGCAAAGAGGCAGCTCTCTATAATTTGAACAGTGATCCTCATCCACCATTCCCTCCCTTCCTTCCCTTCCCTCCCTTCCCTCCCTTCCCCTTGAAAAAGATGTAATTTTATTGCTTATTCTTAAAACAAGTTCGATGTAAACTGTATTAGTGCAAATATGTATATGGGGATGTAAGGAACATAATATGAAAAATGTAATCATTTTGTGCGCCAAACATTTACCTACAAATTGAATATTTATAATCTTAAAAACTCAATATCCCATGATATGTAATCTCTTGACGCTGATATATAGCTTACACTGTATAAAGTGGACCTCCAATATTATACTTTTTATTTAAATGGGAATCATATACAAATGTAAATATGCAAATATAAATATTATACTAAATAAACATCTCCTTTTTATGTAATGGTTTGTACAAAATATTTACCTGGAAATTGTGCTGTGGAAAATGTTATCTTTTGGAATTTATTTTGTAATGGTGATATACATGCAGTGGTTTGTTTTGTGTGACATAATCTTGGTTTTGAATGTTGACTTTGTGTTTCTTTTTCTGTTGCACTCGTGTCCACATATGTGTGTACGCTATCCATCCATTACGCACATCAGGGTGGAAGTGGAATGGTAAGATTTCTGCACCACCGAAACGAATGTCCCCCCCCCCCCCCCCCCCCCGTGCACAATCTCCATGATACTGTGGATGCACTCATAGTTGTTTTGTTAGCCGAATGACTGCACCCCGGGAATGAGTGTCCCCCCCCTCCCTCCATGTATGCACTGTCATAGTGTAATGTTGGTTTCATGATGTTGTTTCTTTTTATTTCTATGCATCTGATTTTTTGAATGTTTTTGCTAGACTAGTATTGAATGGCTTTGCATCTGAAAAAATAGATTAGATATTGTTTTCTGTCTGAAAGGATTGTAGGCGACTTATTAATTAGGGTTGGGGTGTATTTTCTCACAAACTTAACATGAGGTGGATTATTAAAGAAGGTAAATATGAAGCTTGGGATATTGTAATTGAAGGTAAGAAAAGAGCAGGTAGCCCTATTAATCTAAATTTAAACACGAAGTGTATTGTTAAAGAAGATAAATATGAAGTTTGGGATATTGTAATTGAAGAACAAGAAGGAGCACATGGCCCTATGAAGCAAAGACATACTTCAGGTATTCTTTGATTTTGAAGTCATAGTCATCTTTATTAATTTTTTTTGGTCCAAATTTTGAGTTATTACTCTATGCAAGATTACATACTGTTTATGCTAGTTGAAGTAGAGGTATATAAATTGCAATCAGAACAATAACAGTTTAGAGTCAAGTAATTCTAAACAATTTTGTCTACTGCAATGTACTACAAAGTGAGGTACGTGTTTCAGATTCAATGAAAAAATTTCATGTTTAATATACTTCTGATATTAATCTGATATTAAAGAAGAACAGCTACGGATGCCTGAAGCCAATCGAATACTGCTTTTTTTGTATGTTTTTTTGGTAGAAGTAGAAGTAGTGGATGCTAGATGAGTAGTGCATTTGATAGAAATAGTGAGACTTGAAGGCCTCTCTTGTGCTTGAAGATACTCAATGTCTTAAATTCATTGCAATGATCGCATGTTCAATAGTTTGAATTTTAAAAGTGATATCCCTGTGCAAACCTTTTTACATAGTAATTTAGTAACTTCTTTTATGCCAAAGATCAATTGCTATTCTATTTTGTCTCCGCTCTGTTTCAAACATAGAAAAACAATCAAAACCCCCATTATCTATTTGACATTATCTGTGGATATTGAAATGTACTTCAATAGAAAACTGACTGAAAGGAGCAAGGAGAAGTTATGAATTCCAATATTTAAGTGAAATTAAAATTTTGTGTAGAAATGTATACATATATGTATATATATAAATCCGGAAGGTTATGTTAATACTTTTCCCCTCTAGTTTCTAGAAGTAAAGTGATTTTTTTGGATGGATTTGTACTATAAAAGTTGAGTGTGAAAGCTCCAAGCATTCATTCATTATGACATGAAATCATTGTAGTCATTACCAATATTTTGCAGTGGCATACATTATGCATACTTGAAAGGTATGAAACATTTCTGCAGTTCCGCACTATACATTCATGTATAAGCACCATCATTACAATCTTCGTGATGGCTTCCATTCACTGGGATAATATTGTACATTGTGCGTGACTATCCATCCATTTTCAGCAGTTGTTCGAGTACCTCACATATGATGTACATCATCTTAATAATAAATCCCTTCTGGCAAAAATCATTGAGTACAAGTATCAATTTTCAGCTGTTTTGAATATGCAGGCTACATAGACATACATGTTTTCATGTATTTATCAATCATTTATATTCCATTTAAAAATTCTTTTAATGCAAAGTGAAGTCTGTGTACTCATATTCTCGTCTATAATTTGTAATAAACCTGCACATCTCTACCCTTATTCACTCATATCAGTAGAGAGTGGAACAGAATCTATTTGTAGTTAAATTTCCATGTATAAGTGTACATATAATTATTCTATATATTATTTTTGTGTTTCTCGTAGCTCAAGAAAGAAAAGTGGACTGGTTGAATTAGGGCCTTTGTGGAATAATTTTGAGATATAAATAATTTTGAGATATAAATATATGTCACATTCTCAAGAAACATAAATCAGGACAAATCAATTTTCACATACTCCCAAATTACAAAACTTGGTAAGGGTATGAATAACTTGGTTGTTAACTGTACATGTTTTTGTTTCTCATTCTCTTTTTTCCTCTAATACTTATTTTTTCTGTATATACGTTTATCTTCTGTTTTTCTCCTATGTTCTAAAATGTTTTCCTCATGTTCTTTCACTGATTGTCTTCCCAATACTGTATCACTTCTGTTTTCTTCTAATCTTCTTTGTCTTCCTCTACATCTACACTGTTGTAGATGTCTATCTCTTTTTTCCTCTACTGGGTATTCTGTATATATGTTTATCTTCTGTTTTTCTCCTATGTTCTAAAATGTTTTCCTCATGTTCTTTCACTGATTGTCTTCCCAATCCTGTATCACTTCTGTTTTCTTCTTATCTTCTTTGTCTTTCTCCTGAACATCTACACTGTTGTAGATGTCTATCTCCTCTGAGTCCTCTCTCCAACTAATTTAATGTCTTCTCTTTTTTTGTTATAAATGTGTGTCTTCTGTACTACTCCAATCTCCATGTTTTCTGATTATTTCTAAGCTCCTCTTCTCCACAATTCAACCCCAATCCTCCATTTTTTGTAAAAGCTTACAGGTTTTATTTTTGAGAATATGGACCAGTAAGGCATTCAGGAGACTGACATGGAAATCGACCTGTGCAACTTTATTACCAAAGGCATATTATTTAGTGTTTTCCTCTCCTGTATCTCTTTTCTCTTCAAACATCATGAAATTCATTCCTGATTCTTCATACAGCATCATCATTGGGTGGCTGATACGGTTCAAGCCAACCAAAATGTAACCCCCCCACCCCACCCCCACCCCCAACATTATTTCTTTTTCGCATTTGAACAGTGGTGGTGATAGAAATATCTCTATCTGTATACTAACGCCCCTATTCCGGTGTGACCTTTTCGTTTGACAGTTCCCTGGCAAGAAGACAGCCAACATCGGTGTGAAGGAGATTCCGGGTATGCTCCGGGCCAAGCTGTGGTTGGGTCTAGAAAAGGATAGCGCTCAGTTCCAGGGCGGACTCACAGACTCGAGCATCGTGGTCTTCGCGGAGACGGTAAGCTTGCAATACCTCTCTAGAGTGTGTGGAATGTATGCTGATGAGTGTTTTTGCGTGAATACGGGTATGGTATAGGTATTGGAATGAATGAGGGTATGTTATTAATTTTGTTCAAATGTTCATGTATTTGTTTGTATTTGTACAGGACCCTCATAACAGTCATTGCTTTCTTAGGGGTCTTTCTAATGTATCTTTTCTATATATTCATTATGTAATTATTATGTTTTTAATGGAATAAGAAATTGAAGTTGAAATTGAAAGATTGACAGGGGGGGGGGGGGGGTTTAGTGCTCACTATCACCCCTGTATTTAGCATAGATCAATGTACTTTCTAAGCTAAATTTTTTTCTTCTTCACTTGGAACTATTGTACGTGTATAACCTGCATTTCTTTTTGTTGGGTGGGCACCACAGTAGAAACAGGATGGCCTCTTCAAACTGTTTTCTAACATAAATTAGGGAAATATCTGTGGTTCGTTTGTTTCCCATTCTCTAATACAATGTATTTTGTTCTCTTTTATTACACACAGTATGAGAATCAGATGAGTGTTTTAGGAAACTGGACCAGCAAGGCACTGCCAAGACCAAAGTGGTCTGATGCTTCAGGAAAGGTCAGTTTCAGCCATTTTTAGTATTTTGCTAAAATGTTCTCATATACTAAAGTCATTTGGCAAGACATTGATCTACATTTGACACTCTCAACCCAGGTGATGGAAGTGGGTACCTGACAGGAATTAATTCCTTGAAATGTTAGAGCTCCATAATGGCCGCCTTGCTAAAGTCAGGGTAATAATCGAGCAGCACCAGGAGCGTCACGATGTGGCAGCCATGTGCGCTATATAAGAAGCCATTATTATTATTATTATTATATACAAAAAACAATCTAAATGAATATAAATGCACCAAACAGAAAGAGAGGGAAGAGAAGAAAATGGAACCAATAGACCAAAGATGCTTTAAAGAAAAAGAGTTAAAAAAAGGAAGAAGGAAAAGAGGAGTAGTAATATCAAAGCAATAGTATTCTATGGTAGAGAAAATGATAAAATTGAATGAACATGAAGTTATTAGTACTATATTTAAAGTGAAATGAAAGTGATTGAATTGTTCATGATTGTGTCTTTAAAGGCTAGGAAATCAGTAAATTATGGTGATATTTTCATCCATTATTCAATTCGATTCAGTTCAAGACTTTTTTTTTCTTTGATGAGGATGAGAGAACACTGCCAGCAATTTTAGTGTATGATTTTTATTCCATCATTATCTCTGTGTGTAGATAAAGCTACCAAAGGAGAAGTTCCAGCTGCCGCCTGGATGGCGATGGGACGATGACTGGTTCAAGAGCCCTGAACTCAGGTATACAGCGAGATACAGAAAGTGGGTCAAGGCCTTGGCATGTCTGACCTGCATGCGATAGCCTGACCACGTTATCACTTTATTTTATCAAGAGAGAAATGATATCCGGTGCTGCATGCCAATTTGTGGAATTTTGAATACTTATGAAATTTATGAAAATTTAGCCGATTCCTATTGAGCTTGCAAGAAACACAAGTAGAGATTTAGTGGTTCAGTGATTTGAACACTCGACTGGAGTTGTGGAGGTCATGGGTTCCACTCCCATCATGACATCGATACATATGTGGCTCGATCTCTTCACCTAGGAAGAAATCCTTGAATTATGTGAACATTCAAATTAAGCCATGCTAATAAAGCCAGGGTGATGTTGGAACATCTTGAGTTCTCCATGCTTGGTTGATGTAAGCACTGCAAAAGCAGCCAGTGTGATTTCTATCATTAAAATTAATTCTTTCGAATGGATATTTAACGTCGCAAGCAAAAATATTTCATTTAAATGTAAGCAGCACCCTTCATTTCTCTCTTCATTTGTTTATTTATTATAATGTTTATTTTGTTTACCTGCCAACTTTCAGGAGGCATGCGCTCTGAAAGTTGCATGCATATTATTTTGTCTAGCAGGTAAAAGATTTACTTCAATCCTTTTTTCTTCCCAGAAGTATTAAAGTGAAAATATACTTTTATTTTCAATCTTTCTTTATTATGTAATCTTGAACTATCTTGAGTAATCTTGAGTCTACTTTTTCTCTCACCAGCATGTTTAATGATAGGCATCTTTTACATGGAATGACTTTAATAACTATTCTTTTTCTGTATACATCTATGATAAAAAAAGACTACTTTCATCATCACTGTCGTTTTACCTGATACAGTCAAGAGAAGTGATATTGATTAAATCTTGTATTGCACATTTCATTGATGTACATGGACATGAACAAAGCGCTTTTACATCCACACCCAGAATTCAGTGACCCCCAGTAGTTATTCTATTAATTCCTGTATCTTGCATGCTATTGGCTTTCTTTGATTGTCATTACATTATGTGAAAAACATCCCCTTTTGCCTTTCCCTGTATTCATTAACCTGTTGTCTCAAGGGAAACGCATGGTTCCTGCATCATGCCAAGTCAACAGTTTAAAACAGCCATATTGGTGACTGTATACAGTATGTAGGCTATCATGGGGGTGTTTCACAAAGATCCAAGTAGAACTTAACTTGATTAAAGTTTGACTTAAAAATTATGGAGAGCCATTTATAACCTTAAAATGAAATATATTCAAAAGCAGAAATTCAAGTATTTCAGACTTTTCATACATTCCACATCAAGAACATGAAATCTCCTTGATAATAGAAACTATGGATTATTTGAATAAATTTGTATGCCTTTTAAATAAACTTTTACAAAATATTTTCAAAGATGCTAATGGCTTTCCATAATTGTAAAGTCCAATTTAGAGATACGTTCAACTTAGGATCTTTGTGAGATACCCCCCATGTCTATGAATTAACCTTTTATATTTTTTTCTCTCTGTTTCATCAGCTTGATGTACGATGCTGATGCAGGACAGACCAAGTTCCTAGAGGACATCTATGAACATGAGTCAAGGAACATTCCTGGAGGGTCGTGGCAGGTCGCTTCTGTGCCATACACCAATGTGGTATGTCCCAGCTAGTGTATCTAAAATTTAACTCTTTGCTGGATTTGGTTGACCAATGAAGCAAGCAGGGATTGCCATGGTCAACTTTTTTCACACAAAGGATGTCCATTTTCTATTCAAATATGTCGGTCCAGGGTTTCGATTTGATTCAATACTTCAAAAATTTGTTTTTAAATTATTAGGTTGACAAGGGTAATCTTGTGCCTTGTGCCATACTCCCTTTGATAAAACTTTTGAAAATTCCACTATTCAGGAATAGGAGGCATAACAATAAAAATAATATTCTGCTTTTATAGCGCTTAATACATCAACGTGTGTCTAAGCGCTCGGATTCAGGCTTATCCACACACAATGTATGCACATTCTCCACTCCCTGGGGAGCATTCCAGCCAGGCGTCTTTTTTACAAGCATTTTTACAGTCATAGGACCAAAGCCCACATTTACCGGAAGATACAAAGGATTGAGATGAAAGATTTTAGGGCATTACATGTAGGCGGAAGAAGAGTGGTACGTAGTAAAAGACATTTGATAAGAAGAAGATTGGACAAACAGAAGAAGACAAAGAAGGAACTAATGAAAGTGAAGAGGCTGAGAATGAGGAGGTGGCAATGGGGAAAAGGGATTGGGGTGGACAGAGAGAGAGAGAGCAATCAAGAGTGATAATTTCATTCTTCATCATTTTTTCCATTATGGTCTCAAAGTATAAAGACATTTACAAAATATATAACGTTGAGTATGTTTATGTTTTGTTTTGTAGAAGGATGATCCTACCCCCAAGAGAGAAGAGTTCCCTTGCCCTGAGGGATGGCAATGGGATGATGCCTGGGCCCTGGATAACAACAGAGCTTGTGATGAAGATGGTAAGATCAGTTAGCTAGGTCGACCTAGAGCAGGCCTTCTGAAGCGCCAAAACAAATTGTATTGAAGTTGAAGTGCCAACCTGTATGTTTGATGACTATGCTGCAAGGGAGCGTAGCGACTGAGCCAATAACGGGTGGGGTCCAGGGAGGGGGGAATGCTCAGGCAGGGGTCCAGATTCCCTGAAAGCTGGTGGATTTAAGGGTTTTTTAGAGGCTCAGATGTGGCATTTTTATTCCAAAATATACCAATCATAATTTCATATTGATGTGAAAAAAATTAATATTTCATGGGTACAATTGCACTGAAAGTAAACTTATATGTAGTTATTTTGGTGCAATAAACACTAGAAATGTCAGTTGCTCAACTTCGACTGCGACTTTTTGATTTTGCTGAGTTTTTGATTTTAAGATATAATTGTCTTTTTTCTTTGATTATCTAGAGCTAAGTTTCAAAAGTATGTAGACTGTAGTCTTGGATTTCCTTCATTCCTAAGCTGATGATATGATTTGATTTTGGCACAACACATGTTGAGCTCCTTGCTTAGTAAACAGGGCAACAACCATGCCACCAACTTTAATACCAAAAATGTAAAACAACTTCTCATTCTTCTTTATATAAAAACAGTGTTCCGTTGTATCAAATTGTACAATTTCTGAGTTTAATCTGAATTTTAAGAGGAAAAAGATTTCCCTAGTAAACTATGATTAACAGCAAGTAGTTGGCATTATACATTTTGCTAGTTGTACAAATGCTATAAATAAAAAGCTCAATTTCTGACTTGAGACTATTTTAAAGACAAATTTATCTCATTTTTGAGATATCCTAAGTGAAATTCCATGTCGATTTCAGGTTATAATTAAGTTGTATCTACTCTCTGAAGGTGAAAATAAACCTGACTATTGAAGAGGAAAACAACATTTGCTGGATATCACATTATAATATTTGTTTCCCCTGCAGGTTTTGAGTACTGTGTGGAATCATCCGTTGCTAGCTGGGGACCAGTGGAGAGGACCTACCATCTGTGCCGACGTCGTCGATGGGTTCGACCACGATCTCTGAACGCTGACCCCAAGGCTCTAGCGGTAAGTATTTCTGTGAAAGTTGTGTCATTTAGAACTCAAATGTTTGGTAACCACTTGAAGGGACTCAAAGGTTGTTGATGATTAGTCGTTTTAGTTTGATCATGAATAATATGATATAGAAAATGGAAGGAGAAATGTCCTTACTATGAATACGAATTGAGTAGAATTCGGTGAGTGATGGAAAAAAAAAAGTGATATCATGGAGTGATGTATTTGCATAATGTGAATTACATGTATGTCTTGGAGGACCTGTTCTGAGTGTCAATAGTCAGGTAATAAAAGATACAACTGCTACTTGAATGTCTTAAAAGTGATCAGAAATTATTATCACTGTCGTGTTATTTGTGTTAATGGAGATTGAGGAAAATAGGTTGTGATTGAATATCTAATTTTCATGTTGCCTTTATTAGATTATTTAAAAATTTGTAACTGTCCTGTTATTTATGTTAATTGTGATTGAGGAAAATATGTTGTGATTTTATGTCATAGTTTCATGTTGCCTTTATTAAGATACGTCAAAATTTGTCACTGTCATGTTATTTGTGTTAATTGGGATTGAGGAAATTTTGTTGTGATTGTAAATCAAAGTTCCATGTTGCCTTTATTAAATTATTTCAAATTTTTCAAATATGAATATCAAATACTGTCTGAATGATGCAAATTGCAGGAGAAGATAAGATTGGAGATTGAAGAAATTGTAAGTTGGTGAACAAATATTTGAGATTTAACTTGTTTTCAAGTTTTTAAATACCCCACTTTATCCCTCCCCACATTTTAACCTTGCATGGGATTTAAAAAAATAATACAGAAGATCCCCAGCATGGGTTGCAGTGTAAATTTTCTATTTTTAAATGTGGGGGCATCATTGTTCCTTAGGTGTTTAATTAATTATAAATCTTTCAAATGGGTAAGTACAGTACAGGAGACCATTTCTATCACTGATTCTTTTTTTCTTAGAATGTTTGGAATAAGAATAAATTTTAAATGTATCAAATCATATTTCTTTGTAGTCTGCATTATGAAATCGTTAATCAAATTCCAAGTTGAATATAGTATCTGTATCTTAGTATAAATGAACTTCAGAATTTATGAATTGGTGATTAAAAGTTTGGGCTATCGGCATTGCCCAAATGATGTGTTATAAATAAATGTAAAGTTGCAAATCTTTTTAATTGCATGATGATTGTGTGGTGGTGGAGTTTGGGACATGCATGATGATCATAAAACAGAACCAAATGCCTTTAAAATGTTTAGCAAGATAGGTGAAGAAATTAAAAGTGGAAAGAGGGAGAAAGATTAGATATATTGAAGGACAGATGCACAAACCAAATTGAGATGGACAGTAGTATTTACATTGTAGTGTTTTTTAAACCAGGGCCCATTTCACAAAACTTGTCATCAGTGACAAATGACAGTTTTAGTTATAAGCTAGTGAAATCCTTGCTTCTGATTGGTTATAAGTAGATTTGTCACTGATTTTTATCATTTGTCATTAAAAAAAGGCTTTGTGAAACGGGTCCCAGGTCCCAAGGTGTGTTGGGAATTAAACCCTTTGCTTTTAATATCAAGATAATTGAATGAAAATTGATGTGAGGAATGTAATTTGAATGCATGATGACATACAAGACATTTGAGGATGTCTTTTTCCCGTCCCTTTTTACTTGGTGTCACACTAACCTATGTTGTATTTATTGAATAATTGCATTATTCTTTCTTTAACTGAAAACAGATGGTTACAGTTTTGTTTAAAAAGAAACTGGTGTAATGACCAATATGTATAAATATAATGCTAATCCTTCAAAATCTTGTCACATTCTTTAACAAAAAATTGATTCAAGTGTAATAATTATGACTTGAATGTACATGAATTAACAAACTCATTTGACCTTACCGCAAATTTGAAGTTTCACAGTAGATGGTGACTTTCCTTACACACTGTACAGATACGGTACATGGGAAGACGATAAGACAAGGTTTCTTCCGGCTTCTGTAGAGAATATTCAGCAAAGTCAAATAATTCCTTATCTTACTAAATTATTGTACAGGTTTCATGAACTCCCCCGATGGTATGATGAGATCTATGAAGGTACCATTATAATCTGTTACTTATAGTTCATTGGTTTTAAAATTATAATTTCTATTGGATTATTTTATTTTTAATGTTATTCATTTTTGTTAAATTATTGATTATCTCTTTTTCTGCAGAAGCAAAAGAAGAAGGAGATGGACCAACAGGAGGGGTGGGAGTACGCCCCTCTCTTCAACATGAAGTTCCATTCCTCCGAGAGAAAGATGGACATGGTTCGACGTCGACGCTGGCATCGTAAGATGTTGGCCGAGTCCCCAAATGCCGCTGCTGTCTTCTCCGTCACTGGACCTGTGAGTGTAACAAGATGGTGTTTTAGAATTAAAAGAAGAACTGTGGTTCTTATGAAATCAATAGGCTGGTTTACAAACATATTCAAATTTATAGATGTTTCTTTCCTGGTGATATAGTGATGAGGTGTAGAGGTGTCGCGGTCGAGCGGATACGTCGCCTTACTGTCCATCACAAGGACCATGGTTCGAGTCCCGCCGCGACACTATTGTCCTTTGGCAAGACATTGATCTACGTTTGCCACACTCAACCCAAGTGATGTAAATGGGTACCTGGCAGGAATTAATTCCTTGAAATGCTGGAGTGCTGTAATGGCAGCTAGGCTAAAGCCAGGGTAATAATAAATGCACCTCGGAGTAGAATTTCTAGATAGACGCCGCTATAGAAATGCCTATTATTATTATTATTTACCTGTTATTAATGAATGAACAACAATACTTGGAATCCAGTCTGCATACATTATTTGTTGCTATGCCAGGCAACCATTGGAAAGCCCCCAGTGCTTTATATGATTTGTATAAATCCACGCATGCATGAATGACATATCTTGTAATTCATCAATTGGATTTCTAGTTAGTTTTGTTTTTCTTGTTTTATTTTCTTAGGATGATGAAGATGACAAGAAGGATAAGGACAAGGATGAGAAGTCTTCCAGGAAGTCAGCACCAAGGATCTTTGTCAACTACACAGGTACAGGAGATTTAGCGGTTGTAATTATTTATTTTATTTTAAGAAAAACCACAGCATTACTATCCCTTTACCAACGAAGTTGGAGGGGATATAGTAATGTCGCTGTCTGTCCGTTGGTCAGTCTTTCTGTCCATCCGTAACATATCTGGTTTCCATTCAATAACTTTAGTAATGTTTGACAGATAATAAGGTATACCAATTACAATAAAGTTTATTTTCAGATCTTCTCATGGGTCATTCCATAAAGTAGTAAACTTTCTGTACATTCAATCCTCAGGTATTAGTAACTTCCTTGCCTAGTATAGTCTAATGGAGGTAACTTGTTCTGACGTATATAGGTCATTTGTACCCGGCTTTTCGTTGACTTGCTCATATCAAAACAAGAATGATAATCTCCCCCCCCCAAAAAAAAAAAATGAAGAAAAGAAACTGTAGGAAATCTTTATGGTGATTGTGACACTAAAATGTTTACTACATATAGATTGAATGTTCCTAAGGGTTGAGACTAAATATATGTCAAACTTTTGAAGTTGATATTTCAGATTTTCCTTTTTGAGTCAGATGATAAATTGTGACCGCAGGAAAGCCACTGGAATTTAAATAAATGTAATGTAAATCTAGATGTTTAATAAGAAGATTGTTATCCTTTCTAAAATATTACCTTAACTCACTTTCATTTGCAGTATCTCACAAGTACCAGCTGAGAGCCTACATCTACCAGGCTAGGGACTTGATCGCTTCTGATTCAGACAGCTTCTCTGGTAAGTCTGATTCACAACAGGCGAGGAATACCTTCATTATATCAAACAAGATTATGCACACATATTTGTTTCTTTATAGATGTTAATATTATGCTAAGTTTGTTTATGATATATGTTACTAACAGAATGGGGAAATGTGATGAAATACAATCATATTGTTGAGATTTTCAATTGTCTATAACAACCTTATTCTAGTACCATTTTAAGATAGCATTGATGTACATGTACTTCGTCTGGGCTTTTACAGATACACACTGTCACACGTCTTTTATTCTACTCATTAGCTCTGTTTGCATGCGTCAGGTCATGTTACAAACCCTTTCACATATGTCTTTGTTCTGTTCCTTAGATCCGTTTGCATATGTCAGCTTCCTGAACCGCAGTCAACAGTCCGAGACCATCAAGACCACCCTCAGCCCAACTTGGGACCAGACCCTAATCTTTGATGAGATTGAGATCTTTGGTGATCCTCAGATCATTGCTGCTAACCCACCAGAGATCTGCATCGAGGTCTTTGACTTTGACAGCTTTGTAAGTCTGACTCTTCCCTTTAAAGCCCCTCTGTACTAGTTTGGCCAGGAGGGATTAGACCTCCCACCATGGTCACTGACAGGTGGTTATCTCATCAAATCTGCTCACAATTAACATAAGAAAAAGGGGATCATGGGGGACCAATGGTCACCGATTAGGCATTGTTTGCTATATAGAGGGCGCAAGTAGCTATAAGTAGTGCAGTAGGGCTTCATGACAGAGTATTTTTGGTACTGAATACTAGTAGGTATATTTTTTAATTACTGTACTAAAGTTGACATATTGTCTTTCTGGAGTTAACACCCTTCTGGCTCCTTACAGTCTATTATACAAATATACACTGCCTTGAGAGGTTTTGGTTAAAACTATGCGCAAGAGGTGACTCCAATAGTACCCCTAAGCAAATGGTACTTTTGGAGTCACCGAGGCCCATAGTTTAACCAGTACCTCGAATAGAAGGCATGGTATATTTGTTTTATATCCTGCATCAAAAATTTAATACAAATAAAAAAATAAAAAAACATTTTTGGGAGAAAAAAATTTAGAACAAAAAAAATGTCAATTTTTATCTAAAAAGATTTAAAATATTTTGTTTTCATTAAATTAAGATTTGAAGAAAAAAAATTGATTCAATTAAAACAAAATTCACATTTTTTAAAACTCCCAAATAGTAAACCAAAATAGTACTCTCATATAGTACTTTCTAAAAATAGGTCAAATATTTTTGGTCCTGTGACAAGCTCTCAACCAATCAAAAGCCAACAAATTTTTGATGCAGGATATAAATGGAAATATAAATGATAGCATTTGTAAATACTATAGTAAGGATATTCTTTTCTACATGTAGCTATTTCAAAATGTTAGAAAGAAATAAAATTCCATCTTGTTCTATTTTCATTTTCATTCAAGTGAAAGGACAACTTTGACATTGTTGAGATGTCTTTGTTTAATACACAGCTTTACTTTCATGTAGATGTTATATAAACATCTCTTATAGCGTTTTATGATGGGTATAATTGCATGAAATTCATCTTAAAATTGTCTCTCTTGGCATTATTCCACCTTAGATTCTCTGTTTCAATTTTAATTGATTGCCAACTAATGTTTAAATTATCCATTTAGGATGTTGCTGTAACAATGACAATTTTTCATCCTGCTTGGTTAATTAACAATTTGTATTTTGAGTGTATCAGATTTATTTAATGAAGCCCATGATTTCTAGGTTGATGTAAATTGCTTATTTCCATTTCACCTCCCCCCTTATGAATTTGAATTAACTTTTATTGCTTTCCCTCTTCTTGTTCCTCTTTTACACTGCACCACTTTATGGTTTACGGTTGTATACATTATTTTATTTATATTATGTTAATATAACATACTGTAGGCAATGCTTGGAGTGAGTAAACATATTTTACTGCACCATTTTTCTTTGTTCTCTGTTTGTTTGATAAAAATGTTACTCAAATACTTATTGAAAGTTTACCATCCTTAAATAGTGGAATGAAGGGAACTCTCTTTTTTAGTTTATTTTTAAATGTTGGAAGAGACTTTTTTTTTGTTTTTGCATTTTTGAATGAAATACTACTGAAAAGTAAAAGAAATGGCTTTCTTTTACTAAGCTCTTTTCCTTGCGTACTTGTAGTTCATTGCATATGTAATATGTATTTAATTATACACAATGCTACAACTGATTAATATCACATTGTAATGCTTTGGTGATAACTAATTTAAACATGACTGTTGCATGTGGTAAAAAGGGGAAAAGGCAACCCTTCTTCCTGCCGTTTAACCTTTTATAACCCCTCCCCCACCCCCCATCCTATTCCTTTAAAAAACCTCTTCACTGACTTCCCAACATCACACTGCATTCAGGGTTTTTTAAAGGCATGAATGATTATATAAAATCAGATGTGTGAATGACAATATTAGAGCAATTATGATTGCCTTTTAATTAATGGTTGAAAATGGACGGCTTTGTTTGTATGCTTCAGATCTGCTTGTACCTTACATTGACTGTTGGATGGTTGAAATGGGTTATTTTCAATCACCGGATCATCGCGTCGGGTAGGGTGGTCCCGTTACCAGACCTTTTATGAAAACATGCCCCTTTAGTTTATTGACAAAATGTCTGGGTAATGTTTGTGAAATAAACCCCTCTAATCTACAAATGGTCTGGTCCAATTTACCTGACGCTTTGTGAAAACTCTGGCAAATCTACATGAGGTCGTAGTAGAAAAGTAGTTGTAGAAAGTATACATGCATGTCTTTTACAAGTAATTTCCCAGTCAACTAAAGCAAAAGGTAGGTGTGCTCTTTTTAACAAATCTGATTTTATCTATAACAAAAAAAAATCACACACATAACCCCCCCCCCCCCCCCCCCCCCCTAATCTGCAGAATCAAGATGCATGTTATCCATGCAGTCTCCAATTCTGGCACATCTCAATTTCTTATCCAATTGATTAATTTGGGGTTGCACACATGTATCCAGTATACACCTGGGGGGGGGGGGGGGGGGGTGTTTAACAACGTCTTTTTTCAATTACAAAGACAAATATCAGTGACAAATCTGCTGATAACCAATCAGAAGCAAGGATTTCACTAGCTTATAACACAAAATGTCTTTTAATTGTCACTGATGACAAGTTTTGTGAAACACCCACCTGTACAGTTCTTGTATGTTAAAGTACCAGTTCTGGGGGGCGTTTCATGAAACAATTTGTCGGTGGTTTTCACCGACTAATATCATGTTCACCAACAATTTAGTCAGCGCTGACTAAATTTGACCAATCACAGGCCTGGAAAATAATCGGTGACAAAAGACTTGTCGGTGAACATGATATTAGTTGGTGGAAACCACTGACTAATTGTTTCATGAAACGCCCCCCTGTTCATGCGATTGCATTCTGAAAAAAAAACATTGTGGAATCGATCAGGAAAAGTTGATCATCTAGCATATAAGTATTGGTGTGTACTGCAAGGTTCTGGATTCATCAAAACGATAAGAAATCTGTCCCAGTCTTAGTAAAGTAACAAGCACTTTAAACAGAAAGATGTACATGTATATGGGACTATGCGATATCTATCCAGTCCGGATATGTTAATTTCCCAAATTAGAAGGCCCTCGTATTAGTCAAAACATATTCTGTCACATGATTGGTAATAAAAGCTCCCATTTCATTTTTTGAGAGGGGGGCGTGTCCAAATCTGGTCCATACCTTTAACTACTTTTTTTTTCTCTTGGACTCCCTCTACAGGGCAGCAACGAGTTCATGGGACGTACGGTAGTCCGCCCCCAGGTGAAGCTAGATCCCTCTGATCCGCGCGTAGCTCGTCTGGCCTGGCATCAGTTCTACAAGGGATCTGGAAACGCTGGTGAACTTCTCGCTTCCTTTGAACTCTTCCTCATGGTAAGCAAATGAGATCTTTGAATCGATGTAAAGAATTTATGATTTGGTAGTGAACTTACATGTAGGATGATTAAATGGTATGTCAAGTTTTCTGGGTTACGCCATGTGTAATTCTTTCAAATGTAATTATTTAGGATTATATTGTGAAAGTTCTCTTACTACTTAATTTTAGAAAAAAATTAAGGTGTATGGTGGATCTGATTAAAAGAACAAAAACAATTACAGATTACAGAGATAATGATTGAAAAAGTTGTGAATACTGGAAAAGATTATTTAATTTTGGTAACTTTGCACACCCATGATCTATTTCTTAATTTTTTTTAAATGTATGCACAGACTTGCAGAAGAACAGCCGTTGGCTGAAGCAAGTGATCCGTGTTGAAGAAAAAAAATGAAATGAAATGAAATGAAAATGAACTTAAATCGGGACATTTCCTTTTTTTAAAGAAGCTGTGAAAAGTCATATGAAAGTCAGTTTTTAATATTCTCAGATATTATTGTAGTTCAAATTATTTTCACGTGTTCATTCATGTAAAGTGCATTGAAATTATCTTTCGTTCATGCCCTCTATATGTATCGTTTCTGTATCATGATATTATGATGGAGTATGAAAATTGTGAGCAGACTAGGATTAAACTCGTTCCTTCCTCTTTCTTTTAGTCTGATGGTAAGGATCTTCCATTCATGCCACCCAAGAAGGGAGAACTATTCATCGTACCCAACGGTATCAGGCCTGTACTACAGCGTACAGGAGTTGAGGTAGGTAGAGAAAAATGTCTGATAATGGACATTATTTTTGGATCTATGACAGATAATAATAATAATGATAATAATAACTGTTTCTTATAAAGTGCTTAAGTACACATCATAACAAAATTACCCCATTTAATTGAGAAATATGCACTAATAATATAAAAAGATCAATCATGAAACATTGGTAATCATTCGAAAAATGAAATGCATATTGAAAGTGTTTTGCATGAAAATGTCCTTCTGAGAGCCCATATACTGTGCCAGAGGTGTGATATGAGACACAAAGCAGTTCATTTTTGTTGAAGCCTCTATGCAGGGCTCTTGAAATTGTTCTTTAATGTTAGCTGCTAGAGTTTTTTTCTGGCATGGCAGGGTTTCAAGGTCACCTTGAGGGAAATATTGTTAACCATTGCCATCTCAAAGCAGTTATTATTTTGGGCTAGTGCAAGGTATTTTGTCCCATACATAACTGGCTACACCAAAGATATTCACATACCTTGCAAGGGTATCGTAAAATTGATAGCCACACTATAGGTTGGATCAGACCTTATATGAAGGAAAATGACAATTTGGATGTTGATTTTAAATCGTTATTCCTTAATTCGTGACAAAATATAAGTAATATAGCTTGGACTTATTATGCTAGCTTGAAGACAGCCGAAGACTAATTATTTCCATTCATTTACCCGTCTTGTTCAGATCCTCTGTTGGGGAGTGCGTAACATGAAGAAGTACCAGCTGGCTTCCGTGACCTCGCCCAGTCTCGAGTTTGAGGTCGGTGGTAAGATCATCAAGTCAAAGGTCATCAAGAACACCAAGAAGAATCCAAACTTTGATCAGCCACTACTCTTCCTTGAAGTGGTAAGTTTTAGTCACTTTATGAAAAATAACTTTAAAATAAGGATATTTTTAACCCCTTGACCACTGAACTCTGAGCAACCCAGTTCCGGTGTAGGCCATGGGTTAACTGCATGTCAAAGAAATCAGTATCTGCAAATATTCATTTGAAATAAAGACAAATGAAGACAATTTATCATCTCTTGCATCCATGTACATGTATCTGAGTAAAAGGCATGAATAAACGGAAAGATGAATACTGTTGAAATTTAATAATTCAGTATTTGCATAATTTGTTACTTTTTCATTTGCTTTTTTGTGTGAAAAGAAACCAAGCAACTGTACTATCGTGTTAAGCATATAATTAGACATATAATTAAAAAAAATTCAGCATATATTTGTTACATTCATACATTCTGAATATTCTCTGAAAGAAGATAGCTATTTTGCACTAATCTTGTGATTGCAACTTTATTGGCATATTTCAATATTTTATAGGAAGAGAAGAAGGGTAGAAGAAAACTTTTTCAAGAAGGGAGAAGGAAAGATTTGGGAAATACAAAGGAAACTTACGGGTGATGGACCTTATTATAGACAAGTTAAATGTAGATGGAGCACTACATCTCTACAGAAGGAGTGCATGAAGATGAATGAAGAGCCAATAACCTTTTTAAAAAAGATGAATACAAAGTGAAGAAAAACTATACAATACAACGCAGATCAAAAGAAATTTGTATCCTTTCCTACTTACAGCATCTACCAAAGGAAGAGCTGTATACCCCTCCCATCAACATCAAGGTCCGCGATCACCGCGCCTTTGGTCGCAAGCCCATCGTCGGGACCTGCTCCATCAAGAAGCTGCAACCCTATCGCTGCGTCCCCGAGATCGAGGGTGCAGAGACCACTGAACCAGGAGACATGCCAGGTAAACAATTAGCAACCCATTTTGTTTTCGTAATCCGGTCATGATGCATTTTTCTGACTTGAGCCATATTTAATCATTTGTTGCATCTCATTTCAGTTTATTTGTTTACTTTTTTGTTGAATGATGTTTTGTTTGATACACATGTTTGTTTTATTTGGCCACACTTGACCTTGAAAAGCTGCATTAAGCCATGCCGGTGTTTGGATTTGTGCGCCCTTATGCCCATATCTTGCATAAACCTTGGTTGAATGAATTTAAAAGAGCAAATAATGCTATACATTAGAGAAATGGGATTTGATTTTTAAGAGCAGTTTGAGCTGCAAATTTTGACAGTAATTCTGACTTGTAGATTGCGTTGTAGATTTCAGAATAATTGAATATTGTACAAAAAAATTGCAATTGAAGATGAATATAAAAATGGAAATCACAAGTTTATGTGCACTACACTTGAAATTTAATCTTTAATACCAAATTTTGCATGGTTTTGTGCAGCTTTTCAAAGTTTCAGTCCACCCAGCATCAATACTAACTATTATACTTTTCATAACTAACAAGCAACCATTTAAAACAACTTATAACCCCTTTTTCTACCACCAGTCCCATTTAGTAATAGATCACACAATGAACATTCCAATAATTGAGTTTGAAATCATGACAATGTTCCATCATTCACAGCATGTTACCCTCCAAAGAAATATTTATTTAACATTTAGCTACAAGCCAAAAAATATCAGTACAGATTTATACAAAATAAGAAGATGTATATGTTTTCAAGCAGTATGTTAAATCAATTTTAAGAATAAGTGTATTATTATAAAATACATGTATAATCCATATTACATGACCATATCTAGAAACATGTCTAGAAACATATTACTCAAAAACAAACATTTTGCACTTGGACTATAAGGGAACTTACTTAGAATCCTATTAAAGTTTGATGTGATTTTCCCAAACGTATTAGAGATATTTTCATTTATAGTATTGAATCCCACACACACACTCAAATGAAAACAGACAAGAGAATACATTGCTGTTGAAGGTAGAATATATTGGATTTGTTGGTGGTCAGTTGATCCTACCACTTTTACCTATAGATTTTTAACTATTCAGTTGCTGATTATTGTGAACATGTTGAAGACAAATCTGTTGATCTTAAAGCCTATCTGTGCTATTTTGGCCAGGAGGGATTAGACCTCCCTGCATGATAAACTGACGGGTGGTTATCTCATCAAATCAGCTCTCAATTAACATAAGAAAAAGAGGACCATGGGGGACCAATGGTCACCGATTAGGCATTGTTTGCTATATAGAGGGCGCAAGTAGCTATATGCAGTGGGGCTTTAAATCCTTTAATGGACATTCCAAAACAGGGCAAAAGAAATGAATCTCCAATTTTCTCTTTAATTATTCTCAATGGGACATAGTTCTGTAAATGCCATTAACAGCTTTGGAAACTCTTGTTGCAGTGTTAATATTTTTCTAATTTAACAAAAGGTGTGAGACATGCTGTTAACTAAGAAGCATTCTGAAATCTTGATGAGTTGTATGCTCAGATATGCTGATGCTGATTTGAAATACAGGGCCAGTATTCAATCACATACTTTATTTAAGTTAAATTACTACTTATTTTTTGTGCTAAGCTATGTAAAAGTTTTAATTTACGACAAAATACTTACTGATAAGCATTGTGACATCAGATGGTCAATCAAAAGTAATGCGCAATTAACGCATCGCAATAAATGCAGGCTGATATAATTGTGCCAAGTTATAATACTGCTTTAAAAAATGTATGCCTGTCAATGAAGGCCTCCAATTAATGGCTTAAGCCTGGTAGAGAGCTGTCTACATTTAAGGTTAAATACTTAGCCAAAAGTTTGAACTGAATACCAAAATTGGATAAGTATTTTATATAAGCCGTAAACTAAGTAAAATATTCATATTTCAAACTATTGAATTGAATACTGGCCCTTGTGTATATTGTGGTTTACAATGTGGTTTACATTAAGGTGTTAATTCGCATGTAAATGACGGTGTAATATTTCATGAAAAGGGATATTTATGTTCCCTGATGTATAATCAATACCTCATGAAAGTAGATACCTGCCTTACCTGGTAAGCTTTTTATCATTCAAATATGACCCATTATTAAACCAAATTACCTCATACATGTACATGTACATGTATAATATATTTCAGTTATAGTATTGATATTTCTTTTTGGATAGAAAAAGAAGGATCTAAAAATCATACAAGATTTGTTGAGCACCCAAATTGATTCAATATTGTATTTTTCTTGGAAGACATCCATAAATGACTTGATGTAAACTTAGTGGCAGATCCAAGAGGATTCTGTGTTGGCGGGAGGGGAGGGGGGAGGGGGGCTGGGGGGGAGGGCGATTATAGAAGTAAGCCAATTATGTTCCTATCTACATATAACTGCATATCCAAGAAACCCATTATTGAATATAGGTGTACACTTATGATGCAATCTGTCTATAAAGACCAGTTTTGCTTTGTTGCTCCCTTTTAGGATACCATATTAAACCATACCCTCAAAACCCAGTATCTTATAAAGGTGTATAAAATAATTATATGTATGGTACAACTTGTCTGTAAAGACCAGTACCGTTAATGTAGTCCTTCTCTGCAGTTATAGTTAGTGATTTATGCTCTCCCCCAGTAGTCTGAAACCTCTACCGAGTATCATATTAAGATGTATTCTTTATATAGTGCAACCTGTGTATAAAGACCAGTTTTTATTTTGATGCTCGATTTTGGTTACCATGTTAAACCATCCCTAAGAAACCCAGTATTGTATAAACTCATGTTGCAGGCTGTCTATAAAGACCAGTTTTACATGGATATCTATGTTAAAATTGGACTTTCCCTATGGATACATGTATTGTAATACAAGTAGATTGCCTGATGATTATCATCAAACATCATTATCAAACAGTATCTTATAAATAAAGGGGTGGACTTATTTACTAATCCACAGTGAAATAGAGGCCTTTTCAATAGGTACAAGTGTTTTGTTATGATGTGATTATTCCATTCTGGTTACTATCTAAAAAGTCTTATAAAGGCTTATGATGCAACCTGTCTGTAAAGACCAGTTTGACTTTAATCCATGGTAAATCTTGGATTTTGTAACAATTACATATTCTCTTTCTTATGATGCAACATGTCTTTAAAGACCGATTCTACTTATATCTGTTGTAATTCTAGGATTTAAGAAGTTGATATTCTCTTTTAGTTCAATCTAAATTTAACATACCCCCTCCTCCCCCAATATTTTCTAAACTTGTATACTCAATAATGCTAAATATATTACTCATTGCGGATGTAGCATCGAAAATAATATCGCTATTGACAAACGAATATCACTAGCGATATTATTTTTGTATACTCAAGATGCAATTTGTTTATAAAGACCTATTTTATTTTTATCCTTTAGTTTTAAGGGTTATAGAAATAACGCATCCATGTTTGCGCTGGTTTGACGGTGGTGTTTTTTCAGGGGTTGCTTTTTGTGTTTATTTTATCTAAAGCTACACTCTACAATGTTGTCCATAAAGACCAGTTTAACTTTTATCCATAATAAATCTAGCCTTTTTCTGCAGGTATAGCTAAAATGCAAATTTCTCTGTGTTAATGTAAATGAATAATGTAACACTCCACCCACTACAAGAGCTATGTGGCAACCTGTTCGTAAAGACCAGTTTTACTTTTTTCGAAAGTAAATCTTTCTCTACAGGTATGGAAGTAATGCAACACTTTTACTTTTTTGGATGCTATCTTTATGTTAGAGTCTACCAACCAAAAGAGGTTTCTTGCAAAACCTGTCTTTAAAGACCTGGCCAATCTACCTCCATGATGAAGCCAGTCATTATACACAGGTCTTAACTGTATAATGTTTCCACACTGTTGTAGCTACCAATGGTAATGGTGCAAGAACCCCTGCACTACCACCACAACAGCAACAACAGCCCCAACAACAAGCACAACAACAACCTCCACCACCACAACAACAACAACAACCCCCTGTCGAGGGGGCACCACCGGCCGAGACAGGTAACCTAGTTGACACGCCCGCTTTGCTGTGCTTTTTAGTCCTCTTCTCATCACATCATACTACAGTGTATCATCATAATCATACCGTGTAGATTTAGATGTTTATATGATCCATGTAAAAGCCTCAAAAGATCACATCTTCATGCGCTCTCATACTAACAGATTTTTCTCTTTGTGGTTGTATTTTAATGATCTAATTGCAATGTTTTTACATGTTTTGTAGATGCGTCTAGCACTTAGCACTCTACTACTTCTGCTTCTAGATGTAAAATGTTATTTTAAACGTTCACAGCATGCCATTAACTTGGTGTTTAATCACTAGCCATGTTATTGTCCACTGCCTGAGAATAGAGAAAGCGATTTGATGCATCTATTTATGTACGTGTATGCTGAATATGGATGTTTTAACGGCATGTCACATGAGCATGCTTTTACATGTACATTCCAAACTGTAACAAAGCATGATTTGATGTTTATATGTTAGTAAAGTAGCTGTTATTCTTGTATATAATGTAAAAATGAGAATGCATCTATAGTTCTTAATATACATGTATATATTGTAAGAAGGCCGTTACTGCCATTGACAACTCAAAGCTTTGACAGTTTTCTTGCGCACAGCCGATACACAAGGAGGTAAGATGTGGAATCGACTAGATGTCACCAGCAGCCTGTATGCACCAGAACTATCTAAACTTCACCACTGGTTCATTAGAAATGCTGCAAAATTATGGGGATATTAATTTTCAAATATTTTCTTGACTTTCTGATTATTTTGAAATCTAAACACTAATATTATTTCTTGGAAGTATTTAGCATGTACACACATATGATTGTACTGGAGAATGAGAACTGCAACTTAAGCATTATTGCCATCAGTTTGTAGATACTGCTGAGTATGTAGCAGTCACCACCTGCACTAACCAGGGATGAGATTCCTCCACCGATCAGCAGATTTCCACTGATTTTGAGATTTCAAGACGAGGGAAAAAACAGATTTTTTCAAAATTATTTTTCTTTTCATCTGAACATCGTTATAGAGTCCCCTTTAGCCCCCTTCTTCCCCTTTTCATAAATATATTCTAACATTGTCTGCAGCCCCTTTAACCCAGCCAGGGGCGCTGCCCCCAGACCCTCATTTAATCTTCCTCCTTGTGGGGAATTTCTCTGTCTCCTCCCTACTAACATAGTAGTATTACCTTGTAGTTGTGTATAGAAGTCATGCATTATGAATAATGAAATGTCAGAACAATCTAGAACTTCATGTCCTCAAATCTATCTGGAAGATAATTGGCATGATCGGTTTTCTGTTTAATAGAGGAAATCCCATTTCAAATGGGTATGATTCTGATAGAACTAAAATGAAGTATTATTTATTTTGCTTAAAGCCCTAGAAAATTTGGTAGTGTTTTTAAGATGGTAGAGATAAGGTTCAGCAGCAACTTTCACAGTAATATTACCATCATTGGCAAATCAAGAACCTATATTTTGATGAGCATTGAAGCTTTTATATGATGAATTTAATGAATGAAATTGGCCGCACACACACCAAAAAAAATTTTTTATTGCACCATTAGAACTTTGACCATCAGTTGCAAGCAGCAACATAAAAGCCTAAAAATGCTTTTATTCTTGTGGCTATATGTTTAAAAGGATTCATTCATACGATGTTTACAATGAACAAAATTTCATTATAATCAGCAAAATTTGTGTGTTAGAATTGATTGTGAAAAAAGGGCATCACATTCCACTGGTTCATATTGAAATAACTCTCGCATTGCTGAGTTAACCTGAGCGTTGCTTGTTGCCTGTTTAAATGAAGAAGATTGCTGTGAAAAGCCTGCCAAAATTGTTTTTTGTTGTATAGTCCTATATCCAATGATATACATGCAGTTTAAGTAATCGCAAACATTTAAAAAAAATTGAGGCACAATTAGAAGTGGCTTAAAATACAATTTGAGAAATCCATACTCCATCATTACATTCATAAATCCATTTTTTCATACTTCATATTGTTATGTTACACTCAAACTTGGATGCATTATTTTGTCACTGTTATGATCTCACAGTTAAAAGTTAGTGTTATGTTAAATAAAGTTTTGTAACAGAGGATAGACTAGTCGATCACTTGTTAATGAATGAACATCATTTTTTAAAGTCACTGGTTTTGCTTTCCTCAGTAGAGAGGAAGACATTGGAAGTGTGGACAATTTACTCTTAAATCACTGATTTGCAGCAATTTTTGTGGCGTGTTTGACACGTATGGGGGTGTCATTGAATTATTAGTCCTCATCAATTTCCAGTAATATGAGGAAAAAGGAAGGATTTATATTTGTATTTGATTAAAAGGTATATTAAGAGCATGATTTTGCACCTCTATATTTACCCCACAAGTTTTCTCATGAAACATAAATCATGCAAGTATCATATAACAGTACCCAATTTCTATTAAAATATTCATTACTTCACCTCTCTTTTCAAAATATTCAGTTTATACCAAAAGGATGAACCACATTGTCATGCCATAAATACTCTGAGAACTTTGGCATTCTTGTATTTAATAGTCCCAGAGTATTTGTAATAGTCTCTGAAAATGGGGAAGAAATATTGTTCTACTAGGAATATTGAATCAGAATTGGTATTGATGTATTGATGGGAATTTTCTTGCTCCAAATTGTCTCTTGCCTCTCGCTATATATAGGAGAAGATGGTGAAGATGATGTTGGTTTTACATCGGACGAGCTGGCCAAAATAACTAGCGATTTAATGGAAACGAGTGTGCGGAGGTTAACAATCCAAGCACATACTACGCCAGGTCAGCCCACAATTAACCCATCTAGTCTCGTAGACTCGGTCAAAGCCTGCCCCTACATCTATTTTATCAAAATCCACTCATGCTGTTCATTAACTTTAATTCTATTTAATCCATCATTTACTAGCATTACCAACATCTTTACCTTCATATGGGTCTGACTTGGGCTGCGCATGGAATGGTAGACCATTGATATAGACTAGTACTATATCATAGCATCGAATGCTCCCATTACTAACAATGATATTTCATCTTTTCAGAACCTGTGATGTTATACTGTCTGTATATAATATTCATATTCTTTTGTTTTTAAAGAGTCATTTCAAAATTGCTAAGATATATAATGCTTCTACAAATGTAGCAAAGTTATTTGAACAATGCCTTTTTTGCACATTAACTTTTTTTGTTAAAATTTTTCAGGTTTTCATGGAATTGTGCATAATTTAGGCAATTTTGATTCTCAATTTGTTCCATTCATATCGTGTGGTGTGTTGTACGACATTGGTGAAATTATTTAACCATCAGGGAAATGTTTTGTTATTATATGTTGTTTGATTTGATATGTTGACTGAAACGATTTGAGTATTAAAAAAAATGCACTGCTGGTGTTAAAAAACATGGAAGTTTCTTTATTAGAAGCTCTAAATGCTCTATGTACTCCTTTAATTTCAGATGTGTTTACATCTATTGCCCTTGGTGAATATCAAATCATTAGTAATTGCAATTGTAGTGTTTAACATCAGCTTGATGGTCCACTGGTGTACATACTGTTTTTCTCGCCATGCGCACATGATCCAGCTAATTAGATATAAATATAATTCATTCAGTCAAACTTGTTTTGTATTTCTAACATCACTTGTATGATCCTTTGTAAGTAAGAAATAAGTGATACTTGTAAATTATGTATATTTTGAACTGATTAATCTCTTTATTTATTGAATTAAAAAAGACAAATTTCTTAAAGTAATACACCTATTTTTATGATATTCAATGTTAGAATTCTTTGCAAAGTAAACAAAACAAAAAAACAAGGAAACTGCATCAATATAGAGTATGTTTATACTAGATGTACAACTGTATGTGAAAAATTGTTAGTAAAGCTGTGTTTTCTTTAGAGTGAAGATGTTTGCTAACTTTGCTTAATATTGTCATGTAGGTTTTTATGAACATGAGAAATTAAAAGTAGTCTGGCTTGCAGTGTTTGGCATAATTACAAAGTATCGAGCGGTGTTCATGAATGCAGTGAACATTAAATGTGCACATTATTGTTGATATTGTTTGCTAGTAAGTTAGACTGCATGTATGTGTTTGATGATATTTCCTATTTCATATGTGATGCTGTGATAATTGTGTAATATCGTTTCTTGTCTGCTTTTAGCGCAAACTCCTTACGCTTCACTATGCAGTGCCTTTTAATGAGCTTTCCTGATTAGTGTATAAACAACATCTGAGTATGATGTAAACGTGTTTGGCATGTTTTTATGACTAATTCAATCTTGAATTATCATGACTAGTTCATAATTTATATATGTTTCACCTCGGTTTAAAGTATTTTAGGCATTCATCTAAATAGGAACTTATTCAACCCTCACATTTCGTCCACAGAGGCAAAGTGTTTATTTATCAAAAGATTCCATATATTTGAAAAAACATTAAGATTACTATATCAGGTGCATTTCATTTTTTTTTATTCTGCCATAAATAAATCGAGAAAATTTAACTTAATGAATCTAAACAAACACCATTACGAAAACATCCAGTTGGCACATATAAATAGTGATACTTATACTAGTTTAATCATCACAGCAATTAAGAGATGATAATTTTAATGTTAAAATAGTGATTATTACTGTAATAATACTAACAAATAGAGGTATTTTAATTTTCAAGGAAATTTTGTGAATACCTTTGAGTCATGACAAATTTTGTTATACTTTTTTCAAATGATACCAAACAAAACTGATGGAAATGTCCTAGAGTCAAAGCCTATATGGATAATCAGCTTTTCCAAATTAATGCAATAAAATGGTTTCTAATCTACTTTATTGCTACTAAAATCAAATTTTCATTATAGTTTTTCCTTCCCAATAAGCCATTTAACGTGTGCCAGAAATATTTTGTTTGTACATATTTTTAAGGCGTTTGTTAAATTATGCCGAGTAAAAAATTACAAAAATAACCGACCTCCCTTTATCCCTTGACTATGCGGCCAATTTGCAGTGGGTCACGCATAGGAGCGGCAAATATTAACAAAAAATAGGATGCAAACTTGTTGTTTTTAATTATAATGTCTGGAAATTTGCCACATTATGTTTGTCCAAATGTGATATAAATGTGGCTTAAGTCCAAAAAAGCTTAAGATAATTATTTTTTTTTTTAATTGATTAAAAACATAACAGTTAACTTCAACTGAATTGTCCTGCCACATAATCTTCATAGTTGGGTGTAATGCAACAATTGCCAGTAAAGAAATTTGTAGATATAACAATCTTTGTCATTTAATGATTTTACCTAATTTTCATTGTTTTGCCTTAATGTTAATTGTTGCTGTCTTTTGTAGTATTATTAGTGTTGATGATTTAATTGGCATCATTTGTGGCTGGGAGGGGAAAATCAAATCAAATTACTGAAACCTTAGAATCTCTCCACCCAATAATTATTATTTGTAGTGTTTCAATGTAAATTATTTTAAATCTAAACATTGAGATAAATGTAAGAACAATAGAATTTACTTTCCTTTTAGTGTTGCTTCTGTTAAAACACTTCAATAATTTCCTTAGTGTCTTTCCACCTAATCTTTCACTAACATTTGGTGCTGGTTCACAGTAACAATTTGCGGTGTCAGTTGCAACCTCTTTCTTGTTTGTTCCTCTAATATACTGTCTTATACCCTCTTGTTTACCTGTTGCCCTTGAGTGATTAACCAACTTCCGCATTGATATCTTGATATTAACTTAAGATGTATTGTTTCATGAAACATTTCTTTCATACTTTGATGTTCTTTTTTTTGCACATCTTATTTGTAAAGATTGTTTTGCTATTAGCCACCACTGTACAGTTTCCTTGATAATTTTAGGTATTTTTGGTGTACATTTCTTTCACATGAAAGAGTTTACTTACAAGCATATACATGTTTTTTTTAATAGCAGTCATGTAAAACATACAAACAAAACAAATTCAGCAGCCACCTCCTGGTAATGGTAGCAATAAATCGTGAACAATTGTGCTATATATTTGAGAGGCAACAATAATAGAGAAGAAACCTGTACACTGTACAAATTGGTAAAAAACAGTTTTGTTTTCTTTTTATTTAAACAACTTTCTTCATCATGTTTGAGAGTGCAGATCTCTGCAATGTCCTTTAACTGTTCTTAAGTGCATAGTGTTAGATTCATGTCAGTGTTTTGATGTTGACAAGTCCTGTTCAAGCTCTCAGTATACATACATGTGTATGTAGTTTAAGTAGAATATCATCAAATTGTTCACCTTTTTGTAACCTTGCTTTGTACTGCGTACTTCTAGCTTATATTATATGTTTTGTGGTTATGTGCTTTTGCATAATGTGAACTTCATGTTGAAATTAATTTTATGCTTCAAATTATATTGCTTCATATAGTATAGACTTTGAATATGATGCAAGTAAATTTTCCCAAAGTCTTCATGCAAACTATTAAGGTCAATGGGAATTTTTGCCTACATATGAACTGTTTAGTTGGAATTTGAATCAAATGGTATATGAAAGGTTAAAACATGAATACTTTGTATATTACAATAACAAAATACTGACAATTTGTATTTTTTAATTGTCACCTTTTGTTCACTAAACATAACATGTTCAGTGATAATAGCTTTTGTAGATATTAATTAAAAGAACAAAACACATTTTGTTGGATAAAATTGATACCTTTGATTACACTATGCGTTTCTTTTTAGGTCTTTAATATTATTCCTATTTTTATGTTCTACAATGGACAAGTTAATAAACCAATGTCCATTGCAGCTTGTTAACCTGCCTCTTTTCCTTCATCTTCATCTCCCGCAACTTTCTCACAGAAGAAATGCCCTCATTGGCTGAAGATGGCAAGACCCCACTGCCCCCAGCCGCACAAACTGCTCCTGGGCAACCTAGAGAGGGCAGCACACACAGCCATGAGAATGCTGGGGAGGCTGACCATGTGATCATGATGCCGGAAGATGAACCAGTAAAGAAGGGCGACAAGAAGAAGAAGAAGGATGGGAAGGGTGGAGAGGAAGAGAAAGTCAAGAAGAAGGTATGAAAGATTTGTATTTTTTTGCATGTAATGTAAGCATAATTGTATCTTAGTGTAGTTTATATGTAGCTCATTGTAAGCGCCTTGAGCACCCTCTGGGTGGATATGTTGCGCATTATATTAACGTCTTTATTATTATTATTATTGATGTTATTATTGATGTTATTGTTCTTATTGTTGTTATTAATATTATTATTAATACTATTTTTATTATTATTAGTATTGTTATTTTATTTTCATCCTCATCTGATTGTGAAATACCAGTGGAATGTCGATTGAGAACTAACAGGTGCTTTTTATAAAACAGCATTACTAAAAAAACTTGTCCCAAATTGTCATGCATGACATATAATCCTTGTTCCGTTGCTGTAATATTCCAATCCAAACAAACAAACCCAACCCAAGCCTCATTGATTGTTCATGCACTTCCATGTAATATCATGCATTTCATATAATAATAAATTAAAATATTCCATTCCAGGAGCCAACATTTCTGGTCCTCAAAAAATAAAAGAAAGAAAACAATTCCATTCAATTCGACGCCCTTACTGTCCCTATGAAAGGAAATTTGCTTTTGATATGCATTGAATATGCATAACAAAAGATTATCAAAGGTTATTTTCCTGGCACAGTATGATTTCTGTCAATCTGTACAAAAATTGACATTTAACAGATACTACTGGATACTTGTAATATGGTCATGTTTTAACAAAACTCCTCAATGTTCATGTTTGCATGTAATTGTAATACATATTCAGCGTTTGTATGTGCCTCACCCCTAATAAGCCAGTTCGTAAATAGCTTCGGAAATGCATGACCCCAAAATATCCACATATCTTTTACACGATGGATACGTCCCACTTGTGCATTTTAGAATAATCACTGCCAAAGCAATGGAGTGATGGAGAATGCCTTTTGTTTGCCTCTTGAGAAGAATACTGCCGCCTGTGTATCAGATAAATGTACTCTCAGTGTGTAAATGAATACTGATTACACAACTTTCATGAGCACGATACCAGTATTCTTCTCAATGGGTTTTACAATTTGGGAACATATGACTTTTATCTTCCCATTTGTAGAAAGTATTTACGAACTGGCTTTTTGCTAAGCTTGATCATAGCTCCTTCCTGGCCCATGAGCAGCAAAAATCCTCACAAATATGGAGTGTTCAACTTTAAGTTGACTTAAAGAATTTCTGTTTCTTTCTGTTGGAAACAGTGACAATTTAACTCTATTATGAAGTTCAAATTCATGGAAGATGATTAATGCCCAAAATTGTTAATGAAACAAACTAAACGGAGTCAAAATTTCACTCTTGAACGTTTATTTACAACAAATGTCCTAAAATGTGGTGGCCCAGGAAGGGTTAAGGTATTACAATGGCATGCAGTTGATTTCTAATCAGTGTTATTCTAGAGACCCACACATTTCAGTTGCAATAAAAGTGTATATTTCCATGCAACATAATATAAATTTCATGTATATAAACCCATCATCATATGTGTATGTCATTGTTCTTTTACATTTGAAACTGACCAAAAGGTCTTCAAATATTTGGAAAATTTTTCTGTGACCGATAAAAAGGTAAGTTTCCATGAAAGGTATAAAAGTACACAGCACACGTGTGCACATACACAAACACAGAAAAAGGGAACACGCTGAACACAACATATTTTATACACCAACAAGACTTTTATAAGCTAGAAAGCATGACGTCTAAGCACCAGACAGAAATTGTCTCTTTCATAACAGAAAATTAAAATGTTTGCAGTTAGGTACTGATGTTGTTCATTTAGCACATATTTCTTAACTGGAACATTTGAAGACAGAAAGTTATGGAGAACCTATATCTCAATTGCTGTCCCAACTGTATCGAGAGATAGATAGAATTTATTTTAAAAGTTTACAAAAAACAAAAAGAAATGTTGAAAATCCTATTTCTACATGCATATGCATTAATAATAATGGAGCACTTCGCACAAAGTTTATATGAATGAAGTTTACTAATAATTCAAATTCAAACACAGAGACATACATGTACATACCCCTCATGTAGAACAAAATATATGATTAAACATTCATTAGAAGAATTCTTTACACAATATTCAACATGCATGGTGTTTTAATTTACTTTATACATGGATGCCCTGTATTCTAGAGTGTGTTAGCATACGAGCATCTGACAGAATTTGTAATTAGATAGAACAGCATAGAATTTTGTCTGCTGTGTTTATTTGTCTTCATTCACATAATCAAACAAGGAAGGGTGACATTAATATGCAAATAATCAGAACCCTAAAATAATCCTCATATAGGGGAATAACCCATAGGAAAGAAATGAGCCTGCCGCATACTCCTGCGGCAGACTTGCCGCAGATCTGCAGCAGACCTGCCGCAGACAGTCATCTTTTTCACATGCAAATTAGTTTTGCCGCAGACTTGCCGCAGACTTGCCGCATACTCTTTCAGTATGATGAAGAGTCTGCGGCAGGTCTGCCACAGACTTGCTGCAGACTTGCCGCATACTCTTTCAGTATGATGAAGAGTCTGCGGCAGGTCTGCCGCAGACTTGCTGCAGACTTGCCGCATACTCTTTCAGTATGATGAAGAGTCTGCCGCAGACTTGCTGCAGACCTGCCGCAGACTCTTCGTCATGAATATTCATATCTCATATAGACCTGCTGCAGACCTGCCGCATACTCTTTCATATCCAGTACGTGGCAATAAAGTTTGCATGTAGAAGAACCAGTGATAAACTGATTGATACTTCATAATCGATATTGGCAATATCGATATTACCAATTAGGTAATACCAATATGTATGTCGATATTACCAATTAAGTATATTCTATTCTCAATTGTATTAACTTCATCACTTTGATCATTTGAAGTGTATTCAAGAGTAACATTTAAATTGACACAGGCTCGTACACATATATATACTAAATATGTATATTGTTTCTTGGTTAGTAATCATAGTTTCTTGGTTAGTAATCAATATATCTATTGCTTAAACGTGAATGTAATTGTAACATGATCAGACAAAATTATCTATTGGTTAATAATGGCAAAAGGAAAATAGAAATCACAAAAATGATGTGCACCGCTTAATTTGCTTAACAAATCATGATAAATGTATTTTTCTGTCACACGTGTAAAGTAATAATGAATATGCATGAGATGATTGGTTTCAATTGGCCCTATTAGACTTTAATGGGATTTCCTGTGGCAGACCTGCCGCAGACTGTTCCTGTGGCGTACTGGTATGCGGCAAGTCTGGAGCAATTTTTTCGCCCTGCCGCAGATCTGCCGCAGACTGTTCCTGTGGCATACTAGTATGCGGCAAGTCTGGAGCAAAGTTTCATCCTGCCGCAGATCTGCCGCAGACTGTTCCTGTGGCATACTAGTATGCGGCAAGTCTGCAGCAAAATTTCATCCTGCCGCAGATCTGCCGCAGACTGTTCCTGTGGCATACTAGTATGCGGCAAGTCTGCAGCAAAATTTCATCCTGCCGCAGATCTGCCGCAGACTGTTCCTGTGGCATACTAGTATGCGGCAAGTCTGCAGCAAAATTTCATCCTGCCGCAGATTTGCCGCAGACTGTTCCTGTGGCATACTATAGTATGCGGCAAGTCTGGAGCAAAGTTTCATCCTGCCGCAGATCTGCCGCAGACTGTTCCTGTGGCATACTAGTATGCGGCAAGTCTGCAGCAAAATTTCATCCTGCCGCAGATCTGCCGCAGACTGTTCCTGTGGCATACTGGTATGCGGCAAGTCTGCAGCAAAATTTCTTTCTGCCGCATACTTCGGCATACTCTTTGCCGCAGACTAAAAGTCTGCGGCAGGTCTGCGGCAGATCTGCGGCAGGTCTGCGGCAGGTCTGCGGCATACTTTTCACTTTCCTATGGGAAATTATGAAATCTCCATATATTGAGTCCTGGAATCAGGAGTGAGATACACATAGAACATTGAATTCAACATTTTTTGGTTTGTCATGAAATTTTTCCAGCTGAATATATTAATGAGTATTTTTGAATAAAAATACAAAAATTATTGTCTTCAGTAGAAGTTTCAAATTTTCAGACACTCAACTATTAAACCTTTGGACAGGAGACATTTTTAAAATCAATCGTCCACCATTATCACCCCACTACTAACTTAGCTAACTTTTCATTACTAATTTATTGTTTGGTTGCAGTGTACTCGTGTTTATGTTTTGAGTTGCATTTATACATGACATTTATTTGCTTGGACTTGATTGTTTTGCCATCTTTTCTTAATTGTTTCAACATGACATCGTTGTCTTGCTTATTTCTTATCGATGAAATTGATTTTCTTGTTTGATAGTCATGCCAAAAATGAAAGTCTTTCAATATTTAACTTCTGAACTATCAAATTTGTAACCACAGCTTTTTATGCAATTTATTTCATTTATTATTTTGTTTAACATTTTCTCTAGTTTTTCTCTTTTATATTAATCCTTTTTCATTTAGCAGTTCTGAATTTCATTATTTTGGTTTCTGATTTGTAAAATTTGTAATCTTGAACTACTAAAGTACTTCTAAGTAGATCGTGTTTTGCTTCCCTATTTTAGTGTAGATGAACCTTTATTGTGCTTTTATTTGATACAAACATGTTTTTCTTAATAAGCATGCATCATTATAATTATTGTTTATAATCAGTCAGTATCTGTTTGTACACATAACGGACTTATTATTTGATATGATTTATGAATATCATTACAATGAATTTCTTTGTTCCATTTTGTTTAGGTAATTGAATTATTTCCATTTTGGTTTGTTTTTTGGGTTACCTCCTTTAATATAGTAGTCTACAAATCTATTCTTAAAGAAAATCTCACCTTTTACGAGGTGTTACCGAAATCAAATGTTATCACTTGCTTCAATTGAGAGGGCAACCAAATTGGGCTGCTCTATACACCAATGTTTACATGCCCACAAAAATGAAAATAAGAAAAATGTTTTCATTTTAGTATTGTT